TATAACAGGTACTTAAATTTTTTTCTTTATTTTCTATCTTTGTAATTTGATTTTTTGTATAAATATAAATATATTTATGGTTGACCATTTTTTTATCACTCCGTACCTTTAGGCCCGAGAAATAACAAATTTATCTATAAAATGTGATATGCTGAATTCAAATTGATCATATTCCAGTATGAATAAAATGTGATATGTTAATGGGCCCAACCTACAACCCCCAAGTAAGAGAGCTTGGAGAACAAAGTGGTATGCTAATAGGCCCAATACAAAATATTTCATGCTTGGACAAATAATTTTAGTACATGGATTGATCTTGGGCAAAAAAATTCAACACGATGTAAATTCAAACAATATTTGGTTGGAATATCAAATTCTACGGAGCGTCCTGAATAAGTGAATTTGAGTTCAACCCAATTTGAAAATAAATTAAAGTTGTGCAACTTGATAATTAGTTTTGGATTAAACTTGAGTTGAACTGGAATTCAATTAGAGATATGTAGCCCTAATTTTCAATTGGAACCAAGTTTCAAATTGCAAGTATGGATGATATAATGTTAGAGTTGAAGTTAAGTTTGATAATTTTATAACTTTAGTCGGTAAGGATTTTATAAATTTTTCAAAATATATCCTTAATATATTTTACATTCTTAACTTTTTAATATCCACAACCACCACCGTTATGTGATTGCTATCATCACTACCACCACCACTATTATATTGTCATTACCAGCACAACCACCATCACCGTCGCAGAACCACCGCCACAATCATGGTGTCTCCGTCATCATCGTTGCCGTCGCCACTACTATTACCACCATTATAATAAAATAGTTGCGATTACGACGGAAGAGGATTTAGGAGCAGATTCTATGATAGGCTCCAACCCTTTTAAGGGGTCCCTAAAAAAAATTGGGCCTGGCAGACAATTGGTGTCAGCTGTGATCCAATAGCCCGTGTTTTTCTTATATCTTTGGAGGACTGGGGTTCCCTGGAGAAATTACACTGATACACCCCTAAGGTCTATGAAAAGTATACGAGATACCCTAGTAGTTTTCAAAATTATACTAATGCCCCACCAGATCTGTTCCAAACAGATGTACAACGTGTGATTCTTTTTTCCCTTTTATCCTTATTTCCTATTCTCTTACCCACTTGAAAATCCTAAATCAGGAAAATCGATTTAGTTGTTGAGTGTTTCAATTATACTGCATCTATAATTATGAATTAATTTCAGTAAAAAAAAATCGAATTTCGATATAGCTTTTTTCTTTTTTATCCCCTTCCAATTCCTTTCCCTTTGGTTTTCTGCTTGCAAATAGTTACGCCACCAAATTTCAAATGTCTAAGCATACGTTGGACTGATTATGCAAGTGATCAATAATCCTTAATACAATCCATCACCCTGACTTGAATAAAAACACAATTATGGGTATGGGTCTATCTTTAGTAGATTTGAGTTACTCTGTTAAAAATAAATAATTCTTAGGTGTGATTCAGTGGTGAATCTTGACTTCTGATAACTCAGAAATCTCAAATTTAACGCTTTTATACCCTTAAGGGTAGGTCATTCTTGTTCTTTAGAAAAAATGTTCAAAATTTGCTCAAGCTATGGTGGGCTAATATTCGATCTCAAATGAATAATCAGCACAAATCTAAGTACTCTATAACAAAAAAAAAAATCCCAATTTAATAAATAAGTTAGAACGGAATTGACTATGTAAACTCGGCTTGTATAACTTGAGTTTAAACCTAATTTCAAAAATTTAAGTACCGATAATAATTAAATTGAATGATTCTAATTAAGGGTCGAGTTTAAATCATCATATTAATCTTTCAACCCAGCTAAACTCGTCTAAAACACACTCCGTAGTTGGGAGAGGATTGCGGGCACCAGCGATGGTAACTTGGTGGTTGTGCATAGTATGTGATAAGGACAAGCCAATGTAGACTGCTTGTTGAGTACCACAGTGGAGGGGGTGTTTCAAAACTTGAAAGGCCAAGGCACATCACCATATTGTTCAGCAAGTTGAGGTTTTATCTGAGCTGGACGTCCCACAGACCATGTGAAACGGATCAGGGTCAGCCCCTCAAACTTGTGGTGGAGGTGGATCCTTATCTACTCACCTCCACATGTCATTATCCTATTGGTTCAGAGCGTTTTCCTCTAACTCATCTGAGTCCATCTCAAAATAAGAGTAATGCTATTATTACGTAAAGCACCCTAAATCACGACATTGAATTAAATTTATTATTGAACTAATAGTCCCGGTGTATTATATCCTCAAATTAGATAAACAATAGCATTATTGTGAGAATAAAAAGAGTATTGGTGGGGCTAAGAAGGCAGGTCCAGTTGCTTTTGGTCTTGTGAATATCACGTGGGGGAATGGGACCCATAGAAAGCAAACACTAGCAAGGCAACGAGGACACCCATTAACAAGATAGTGAACTTTATGGTCACTGGTTTATGATGGATGTTACATGTTAGAAATCCAACTTTTCATGTGGACAAATAAGTCTAATCAATTTCAGCCATAAGGCAACTTTTCTTCCTACCCTGTAATTTTTTAAAATGGCAATTACGATAACTTTCATCTATATTTCGGACAGATATAATCGGATAAATTTAGAATATATTGGAGTCATTTTGTTAGGTTTAAAAGGATTACGGGGGTTAATTTGCAAAGAAATGAAAATTAGTGTGAGCACAGAAAAACCTAGGATCATAACTTGACTTAACAAAATCCGCTATGAAAAGGACTAATAATCTAACCGAGTTACTCGGGTTCAGCTCGTTTTCTAAACGAACCAAATTTAAAATAATTTTTTAAGCTCGTTTTCTAAAACGCTCAGCTCGAACTCAAACTCAACTCAGGTTTTTTAAATGAGCTGAATTTGAACAATTTTTTAAGCTCGTTCAAATTATTTAGATAAAGAATGAAATTTTCAAAAACATAAAGTAAAAGTTCTTATACAACAATTTTGAAGTATTAATATCAACCATGATCACTTTTAAGTGATTACATTAAATTTTAATTTTTGTAAAGGGTTATAATTACTCTTTTTGTTATTTTTAATTTCCTAACACCATGCATACTGATTTTCTAGGCTTTTGTGTTTATTAAGTTTTTAAGTATCAAATATAATGTGATAAATATGATGTATTATATTATTTGTATCGATCAGTAGAATTTTTTTTTAAAATTTGCTAAAGTGTTCACTCTATAACGATGATCTGACTCCGTCCCCGTATAAGACTGAGTGAGCGAGAAGTCGAACAAGGCGAGACATAAAACTTGTACATCTAAATTCAGTTGACGTGTATAATTTAAAAATGATGGTATGCTATGCATTTTAACTTTAAATTTAAAGGGCAAATTTGCATAGGAAGATTGGAACCATACACTAGGAAACGTGAAAACAATCTGGCATCTTGAAGGTTCAAGGAGAAGTTTTCTGCAGATGGCCATCACTCAAACATGTTCATCCACTTTTTTTCGCTGATTCTTAGCAAATCTAAGACACAATTTGCTCACCCGACACGAGATCAAGAAAACACTAGTGATTGTAGATTTAGCTAACATGTTCAACAAATAACGCATTAAATAAATTAATTCTCGCGAATATATACAAAACACGCTAATACAACTTATACAAAATACAAACTCGACATAATACAAACCCAAATACACATGAATTGAACAAATTTCAACACGCTACAACTTAAGCACGACACAAATTAGACACAACACGACTCGTTCTTAACTCTAATTAGAAATATGTTGACCAACTATCATAGAACTTTGTTCTACTTCTTGGTCTAACAAGGAAAAAGGTATAAAGGAGGGGTTTTTTTTGATCAAAATTTTAAATCGCAGAAACAAATCAATTCTAAACAATAGCGTCAAAACCATATACACTCAAAAATTCCTCCCTTTTTTCTTTTTCAGTATACTTGTAAGAATTGAAATTTTTTAACTTGTTTTTATCATTAATTATACAAAAATTAAAGTAAGCTACATCTGATTTTATCATTAATTATATAAAAATTATAGTAAGCTAAATTTGATTTCAATTCGAGATTTCACTAGTCTCTATAGATCTTAACTTCTAGACTTAACAATCGCCCTCAACTTGGAGCTTTATTTTTGTCAATCACAATCAATTTAAATGCACGTATATTCAAACTTAATTCCATAGGGTCACTTAACCCGTCTAGATAAAGTTGTCAATTCATGTCATTGTCATATTTTTTTTTGGTTGTGTAATTTCGATTCGTGTTCTCTATTTATCAATATTTGTGTTGATAACGAAATTATAAATATTTTCAACTTTTATTTTTAAGAAACGGAAAAATTTTATGGTCTATCATCAACGAGTAGAGACGCGCTTTGTTAGTCAGGCTCGTAACTTTGAGTAAAACCCAGGACAAAAATTCATAGTATAAATCGGTCCCTCAACTCATATACCGGAGACTCAAAACTCACACCATAAACTTAAATACACCATAAACTTAAATACTATTCGTATAAACAACTGAAATCTTGCTGTAACAAACAGTCACCCTATTACACTAAAAAGACATTGAACTCCTGACCTCCCACCAAGAAATCAGAGGTTCTGACCAGCTGAACTATCCTATGGTTATAAATATTTTCAACTTGCAAACGACTTAATCATAAAATTCGTGTCCAATTTTACATGACTGACACTTGTGCAACCAGGTTCGAGTACGTTCACCGGCTGACTCAGCAGGCTTTTCGATTTGAAAAGTGGCCATGCCAAAAGGCGAGTACATAAAGCTAAGAAACTCGAGGGAGTACAAATAAACAAACACTCCGCCTTCATTATTTGATTCCAAAAAGCCAAAGCCGTTGGGTCCCACCAGAACCACATCTCGATCCGGACCTACCAGAACCACAGCAAACCATAAGATAAAGTTACGACTTTTCTCACCCACTAAATTCTCGCCACCTGTCACGCCTGGATTCTCTCCACCACTACTTAGTTGTCCACAGTTATTTCCCTCCTTCGCCAGCCCCTCCCTCTCTTCACAGTTCACTGTGCCAGAAGTATAAGCCAACGCCTCATAGTAATAGGGAGTAATAGAGACCAGAGAGCGAAGAAAGCAATGATGAAGGAGGAGCATACTCCTATAGATGGTGGCAGCAGCCACAGTTGGGCGCGTGTGTGCGACGCGTGCCATTCGGCAGCGTGCACCGTGTACTGCAGGGCTGACTCTGCCTACCTATGCTCTGGATGTGATGCCCGTATCCACGCCGCCAACAGGGTGGCATCGCGCCATGAGCGCGTGTGGGTGTGTGCGGCGTGTGAACGTGCTCCGGCAGCCTTCATTTGCAAGGCTGACGCGGCATCACTCTGCACCACTTGTGATGCGGACATCCACTCCGCCAACCCTCTGGCGCGCCGCCACCACCGTGTCCCCATTCTTCCCATTCCCGGCTGCCTCTACGGCTCCCCAGCCACCGACCCAGGGGGCTCCATAATTGGGACCCCAGGGGATGCCGAGGATGGGTTCTTGGCTCCAGAGGCTGACGAACCAATTGATGAAGACGATGAAGATGAAGCGACTTCATGGTTGTTGTTTAATCCTGTTAAGAACACCCACCAAAGCAACGATGGGGTTTTGTTTGGTGGAGAGGGAGTTGATGAGTACCTGGACTTCGTTGAGTACAATTCATGTCAAGAGAGTCAGTTCAATGACAAGTATAATAATCAGCAGCAACGCTATTCTGTGCCTCAGAAGAGCTATGGAGGAGATAGTGTTGTGCCAGTTCAGTGTGGAGAGGCGAAGGATCAGCTTCAACAGCAGGAACACCAGAATTTTCAGCTGGGGATGGAATATGAGGCATCAAAGACGGGGTATGGTTACCCTGCTTCAATCAGTCACAGTGTAAGTGCTTCACTAAATCAACAGATACTCCTCCAATTATGCTGATCTTTGAAGTAGTGTTTTCGAGTTTTTGATGGATTTTTATTTTTGGCTTTACAATATGTCTGCTAACAAAACACTAGGGTTTCTATGAAAAGATGAAATTTTTTATATCTGAAGGTGTTTTAGTACACACTAGCTTCAAAATTGAGACTTAAACCATATCTGTTAGAATTCAGACTTAAACCGTATCTGTCTTCAAAAACTTCTTTCTATTTGGTATATTCATTCCGCTTGCTTGATTCTGAAAATTTTGAGTGTTTGTTCAATTCCTCCAATCCAACTCTTAAGATAAAAATTGGTGGAAATTAAATATTTTAGTTTGCATGCGAACAAGAATTTACCAATTAGCCCATGCAGGGTTTTCACTTTGAGTTCGAGGACTTCAAAGATCAGAAGAAGTGTATCTCTTTATATTTTAATATTGGGTTTTGGACCAAGCTAATTGTAGCTTTTTCTTAGAGGCAGCTTTTAAAGTAGATGTTAATACTTTTTCTTTCTATGCTATTATTATAGTTTCTCTCCTTGTGTTTCCTTTTTTTATGAGTTCTACAAGCTTTTTGGCTAAAGGGCTCTTTTCAAGTACATGTTACTGCTATTTGCTTTTAAAGTCACTAAATCACTTTTGTTTTTACTTTTTGCATTAGATTTTTTTTTTTTTTTTTTTTTGGGGGGTGGGGGGGTGTTGGGTTTGCGTCCGGAGGAGATTTGAACAATGGTTGCTACCTCTCATAATATTCACTGAAAGGCAAACCCCAGCCTACCGAGTACCACCCACTCACACTTCTCCTCAAACTTGGGATGTTAAGGGCATCTTGTTTCGTTTCCTATCAAAAAAATATGATAAGGGCATCTTACAATATTTCGCTTCTAACAAAGCTATTTGGACTTCAATTCCCAACTTAATTTATTGACCTAATCTATTACTTCAATTGGATTGACAGTGAATTTCATTCAATGTCAGATCCTAGTGCTAATTCTATAGCAATATTAACTAATTAAGTCTGTAAACTAGGACTAAGTAGCATTACACTTTATTCTCTATGTCGTTTTTTTCTTTGGCTCCCACGCTCCCTTTCAAAGGGAACTACCTAGGGGGCATAATTATCCTCCACTTATCCTTTCCCCTTTATACAGATAGTTGTATTGCTTTTAGTTTTGCTCTTCCTTTTGTGTCCATCACTTATTTTGTCTCCATTAAGTCAGAAATTTAGGTAAATGTTGTAACTTGCCAGTGTTAAATTATATTAACGACAAAAATGAATAATGATAACATTTGGTCCGTCTTTGAGAAGTAAATGCATACTCACCTGCATGCCTCTTGCAATCGAATCCATCTTGAGTTTAACAGATCCTGCAAAGAGAAAACATCATTAAAATTTCTTAGTCAGTATCAAAACACAAGTGAATTTACTCTTAAAATTAGCATGGTTACAGGTTCCATATATGTAGTCTTTCAGATAATTACTCAGTACAGGAAAAATGACAAGGGGTATTTCTGTGTTTGTAAAATCAGGTGTCCATTTCATCCATGGATGTTGGTGTCGTCCCAGAATCTACAGTAAGTGATGTTTCAATCCCGCACGCCAGACCCCCCAAAGGGACAATTGACCTTTTCTCGAGTCCTCCTATGCAAGTGCCACCCCAACTTACTCCAATGGACAGAGAGGCCCGAGTCCTAAGATACAGAGAGAAGAAGAAGACACGGAAGTTTGAAAAGACAATCAGGTACGCATCAAGAAAGGCCTATGCAGAAACCAGACCCAGAATCAAAGGTCGATTTGCAAAGAGAACAGATGTTGAAGTTGAAGTGGATCAGATGTTCTCCACAACGCTAATGGCAGAAAGCGGATATAGAATTGTCCCCTCATTTTGAAATCCACCAACAAAAGATAAACAAGGAACTCTCTTCACATGAGAGTTGTACCAATTTCCTAAAACAAGGAACTCTCTTCAGATAGAATTGGATCTTTTTCGATGTAACTGTTTTGCCAAATAATTAGCATTACGCTCAGAAATTTGTAAATTTTCCTGTTCAAGTATAGACTTTCTTGTAAATGCATGTATAGTTATTTGTTTTTCTCAGAATATTCCTTTTGAACGAATTTGCATATATATGTTCAACTTTTTTTGGTATGTAACCACTGGGTACCATAATTTCTTCCAATTTTATAATGTAAAGTTTTGGGTTTGAGAGGATAAACTAAAGAAAACAACAAAAGCCAACCATATGCATAGTAAGGTAAAAGATTTACCATAGTACCTTATTGGGATAAAAAGAACCAAGTCCACCCACAAAGACAGGAATCACAAAAGAGACTCCAGAGGCAACAACCTGACAGGACCCTAACAGTCTGCAATACCTTTGTCAGTTAGAATGGTATTCAAGCTCAGCTTAGCTTTCGGCTTTTAATGGGGTCCTTCGTACTCCTTGGACCTTTCTCTTTTAGAATCAAATGCCCATAGTGAATGCCTACGGGCTAGTTCCACTGTTTTATCTCCTCGGGAAAGTACTTGGACCTGGGTTCTTATTTTGGTACAATTGAAGTCCCAGCTGGGCCAACAGAAAAACAATACTATGCCCATGTCCGCAAGGCATGGAGAGATTTGGTTGAGATATCCTGATGACAGTTATCAACTCCCTATCAGGATTTGCATGAAGGGAACATGATATCCAGGTAGGATAAAAAGGCAATCCTCAAACTATAGTACAACAAGGATAGAGTATTTATATGAACGAAAATCATGAGCGAAGGACTACTTAAGTAGTGGTGAATGTACATCTGGGGACACAGTCAAAGCTCTCTAATTGTTGGATACAACAGGAAAATCATGTCACTATTTAAGGAACAGAAAATTTTGTTCCACGTCATTAATTTCAAATGTCCCATGATCTAACCCTTTTATGTCCTACAGCATATGAAAAGGCGTGCCATTACCCAACTGAAAATCTGGTTGGGTTCAAACAGGAAACAAGATGATTTGTGATCGTTACATGGTGATCACTCTACAATCCAGCCAAGAACACAACAGAATGGTTGACAAAAAATTGCATAATTTCCCTTCGCCAGCTGACAAATAATTAAGCACCCATATGACAGACATATACAGACATGTATACATTTATTAGTGTATGTGTGTGTGCGCGCGTATATATACACATATGAGTGCGTGTGTTTTCGAGCTTGTGAAAGCATAATATTTGGAGGCCATCTTGGATGATTCATCTCACAACATGCATTCTGATATCAGTATACAACAGCACACTCACAGTGATGTGGGCTTTACTCAATAAGATTGATATATACTCAATCCGTGGGTTTATGAAAAGGTTTTACTTTCAAGGATGTGAACTTATAAACAAAAAGTGAAAAGAAAGAATAGAATCTTCATGGAGGTAATTAGCATGGTGAAGCTAGATACCTGGTGCCTGCTATGAATGTAACAGTGCACAGTTCAGCTTTTTGGCTTTGAGGTCCTTCGTGATCCTTGGGCCCTTGAAGTATCCATTTCTGCTCTGCCATTTGCCAAACATTGGTGCTTTTTGGCAGAGAATAGGATTCTTACATGGGTGCCATCCATGTTATTCCAATGACAAAATAATATTGGCATAACCAACAAAGGACAAAGAAACGTTGAAACAACTGTTGTCTAAACCTTTGATATCATATCAATTTGGAACAGGCTTACAACTCTAAAAAGGAAAACAACTTTAACCATGAGAATATTAAAATAAAAATAGTCCTCAGGGAAGGTATTGAATGTTATATTTGACTTTTCCACATCAAAAAAGACAAACGCCCACGGTGATGCCTCCTGGCTAGTTCCACTGTTTTATCTCCTCCAGAAAGTACTTGGACCTGGGTTCTTATTTTAGTACAATTGAAGTCCAAACTGGGCCAGCACAAAAACAAACTTGGTATTTAAGTTAAGTCTCCGCCGAAGCCCTTCACCCTGGAAATGCGGTTTTGAATCACTATGTCCATGTCCACAAGGCATGAAGAGATTCGGTTGAGATATCCTGATGACAGTTATTGACTCTCTATCAGGATTTGCATGAAGGGAGCATGATATTTAGGTAGGAAAAAAGCCATCCTCAAACTATACTACAATAAGGAATAAAGCACTTATATAAACAAAAATTGAGAGTGAAGGGCTACTTAAGTAGTGGTGAAGGGGACACAGTCAAAGCTCTCTAATTGTTGGAATACAACATGAAATCATGGCACTATTTAAGCAACAGAAAGTTTTGCTTCACGTCATTAAATTTAAATGTCCCATGATCTATTCCCTTTTATGTCCTACAACTTACGATAGGTGTGCCATTACCCAACTGAAAATCTGGTTGGATTCAAACAGGAAGCAAGATGTGATATTTACATAGTGATCGCTCTACAATCCAGCCAAGAACACAAGGGAAAGAGGGACTGGTTGACAAAAAATTGCATAATTTCCCTTTGTCAGCTGACAAGCAATTAAACACTCATATGACATCTATATATAGGCATGTATACATTTATGTGTACGTGTGTGCGTGTGTGTGTTTTCATGCTTGTGAAACATAATATTTGGATGATTCATCTCTCAAGCAGCAAATATTCTGATATCAGCATATCCACCGCACACTCACAGTGATGTGTGCTTTATCCAATAAGATTGATACGATCCTACGACAAAATTTATACTCAAACCATGTGTTTATGAAAAGGTTTTACTTTCAAGGATGTGAACTTGTAAAGAAAAAGCGAAAAGAGCAAGTCATGAACCAAAATAATAGAATCTTCATCTAGAATGACCATGAATTGATCCATTTCTGCTCCTGAATTATCCATTTCTGCTCTACCATTGAACCAGCTTTGGTCTTTTTTTTTTTTGCTGAGATTAGGATTCTTACATTGGTGCCATCTATGTTATTCCTATAACCAGGTCCAATAAAGGATAAGAATCGTTGAAACCAATGTTATCAGAACCGGCCTGGACATCGACCTAGCTGAGAGATAGGGTCAATGATTCATTGGTTCAACTGGTCAAACCGATGGTATAATAAAAAAATAAAAAAATAAAAAATATAAAACATAATAATTTAACCAAAAAATATAAAATATGTTCACAATACATATAATTTTTCATACCAATCATAAAATCCACAATCACAATAAAAATAAAAATAAAAATAAAATTCATAAAGTAGTATTAAAAATTCCTAATTTGGAGATTTTATTCAATTGGAGGGTGTGTTTGATAATTACTTACTTTCTAACCCTTGTTAGGTGTATTGACTATTGACTGTGCATTTATGTATGTGTTGATTGTGTGTATATTGGCTCAATGACTGGGTGTGTGTAGAGAGAGAGAGAAACAGGAGAAGAACTTAAGAACTGTGTGTGTATTACGCTATTACTCCATATTGGTGTGTGTCTGTGTGTGTAGGAGAGCGGAGAGAGAGAGAAGAAGAAGAAGACTTACAAAGGATGACAATGGTGTATCCACCGGCCGCTGAGAGGAGGAGTTCGATTGAGAGGAGAATCGCCGAAGAAGACGAAGACAAAGAGGTCTGATCTGAGGGTAAAATTTCTCCAAACGTTTTTATTGCATTGAACTGGCTGGTTTTAAAAAACCGTGCGGTTCACCGGTTTTGGCCAAAACCGGCCGGTTTAATGGTTTTTTAGCGGTTCAATTACCTAAGCGGTCTTTTGAGTAAATCGGACCGGTCAAGGGTCCAGTCCAACGGTCCGACAAGCTGGTTTGGTCCAGTTCTGATAGCACTGGTTGAAACAATTGTTATCTAGACCTTTGATATTATATCAATTTGGTGCGGGCTTACAACTCTAAAAAGAACAGCAGGTTTAATCATGAATATACTAAAATCAAAAGTAGTCCCCACTGAAGGTATCAAATGTTATATTTGACTTCCCCACATCAAAAAAGCACAGATGCTGAGCAATCAGCACTAACACAACATTTAGTTTCTTCACATTGCAATGCTTTAGAGGGACGGCTTGGGTTTAACAGTAAGAGATTTTTGTCACAGATTGAGTTTAGTAGTACAAGTTGAAATTTTAATTCAAAAGAAGGTGGAATTATTTTCATGGAGATCTTCAAGGGATGGCCCACAGTAATCTGTAAGAAAAATGGATGCACTTTTTCAACTAAAAAGTTTTGTGCATAAAAAATTAACACCCACATAGGTATGAGATTCCTATGAAGTTGGTGCAATTACACCTACCCTCTCATTTGTCCACCAAGCATATTCTTCAAACCTTCCAGCTTTTAGCTCAAGTGGCCACCTCTACACTTCAAACCAGCCCACCTATGTTATTTTCTCAATTCAGCAGCGAGAGACCACAGATTCTTACTCTAGCACCAGTGTTCTGCCAATATTTTCCCACTTGGTGAAAACGCATATAAAAATTGCACTTTTCATACAGGACATTATCAATAACTGGCCCTCTTGAGTTATACCTAATTCTACTCGATTTTCATATATTCTCAAGCTGAGGCCTAGTTAAATGCCAATGCTTCATTACCCTCCAACTATCCAAATTTTACATAAACTGAATGTCGTAAGCCGACAAGATTTCAGCCTTGGTGGATTAAATAAAGGGTCTCCCAGATTGTAGTTTACTAGAAGTTCAACAGGACTATACACAGGCCGTGCTATCAAAGTAATTAAATCTGGTACACTGTCACAATTTCAGCATAGCATTTCCCATCCCTTATTTGCATTCAGCTGATCAGTTAGAAAAGCGGGCTGCACTTTAACCTTTAAAAAATATGCGAAAACAAAACTGAGCCTCAAAATATTCGGAAAGGATAGAAAAGATGACTGTAGACCTTGATCTGTCAGAAAAGCAGGCTGCACTTTACCCTTTTTGAAAAATATGCGAAAACAAAATGCAGCCTCAAAATAGAGTGGTCGAGAGGTTTGTGGAGGTTATTGTCGGATGTTTCTAAAGCCCAATATCTGTCCTCAATGTAGTGCCAACAGAAACAACCAGAAAAGAACATGCTTGTGATATTTTTTTAATCTGGTTTCTGTTCATTATCATCAGCGGCCCCCAGGAGTAAACCACAGAGAATGTGTGTGTGAGCATGCATGCATATATCCCAGATAATTTTCCCTAATATTCAGATCTAATAGAATCTGAAAGTTGGGATTTCAGACACACTCACACTATCAGAGTCAAAAGTTAAAATTAAACAAAATAAAATAAAATCATGAACGTACACAAGAAGCAGCAAAGACTTGATTTCAGCCACTACAAGGACAAACAGGGTGGCAGAAATACAGCAGTCAAATCATCATGCAGAAAGATACACAAATAATGGAACAAAGTGCAACCACTTGAGAAGGTACTTTTGGCACATCCAAGGCTTTGATTCCCTTTTTCCACTAGAGAAATTATTCGGCCCAACCATGCTTTAGAGCTTTTAGTAAAGTTACGTTGAAAACATTGTCCAATAAATTTGTTCACTTTAGGTGACCCTTTAAAGTTTAAACAATGCCAGTAAGCTAAAATTTGTCTCCTTATCAAACTGCCATCAATGTAACCAAAGATTCCTTTCTTCTTTGTTTTCCATTTTTCTCACCAAACTAGAGAAATAATCAAGAGATATTGTAAACTAGGGACGCATAGGCTTTATGATTGTGAATAGTCCATGCAACGAGTTTCTGTTATAGATAATCTCGGTTTGCTTTAAGATATTATATCACTCCTAGTTTAATATCCGAGCTCTTATAATTGAACAGCTAAAAGTTGTCATCACTACTCGATGTATTTGGATGTGAATTTCCAAATAAACATGGCACAACTTAAGAAGATAAAAGGCTTCCCTCAGATTATGCATTGGAAATATCCATCGTATAGTGTGAATTAGACTACTGGAACCTCTAGGTAGACAGCTCCACTAAATGGAGCAGACCCCAGATAAGCTTGAACAACAAACGATATTAAACTAAAACTCTTGCAATGGTGAAAAACTATTTGTTCCATTATTGAGTTTATTCTCAATTAAGGGCTCTTAATTATGGCGGGAAGCATACCAACAAAGTATTCTCTTATATGACACAAAACAATAAGCAACATAAACTACAAAACTATTAAAGGACTAAGAATTTCATATCATATGTAGAACGTCCTAATGTTCAGCTAGTAAAAGAAAAATTAGAAGGTCCTGGTCCCTTGTAGGAAGGAATATTCACAAATTGCATCTTCTCGGGTAGTCTTATTTAGCATTCACTATAGTAAACAGAAACTGAAGCGTTTAGAGTTATTGACAAAAACAAAACCATTTACAGATCAAACACAGCTCGCTGGTAGCAGTTTTGCCGGACGCCCCAAATAAACTCATCTTTCAACACGATAATGACACCCACAAATTTTCCCTACCACGCCCTCATATGACACTCTCTTCTTAGATGGCCTTAGGATCACGGAACAATTTTCCAATTCTAACACATAAGTCCTCTTGAAGGTCCCCACTCCTCCCAGCGTGAAGCAGGTAAGTCCCTACAAGGGCCCAAATGTCTCCAAGTTTAACCAATCTGGAGTAAAGGGTTTTCCATTCAAAAGAAATTATAAATGCACCTAATTTTCAATCTGCAATTGAATCTGATAAATAATTTCTGTGTCTAATCTCGAGCAGGCTAACCAACTCTAAGCATTCTCTCTTATTAAATAATTAGTTCAACAAAATAAGTGATCTAAATGACTCTATCAACTTACCAATGATCATTAATAAATATTTACATATACTGGCGCTCAATTCATTCTAGACCATTCATTACACACACAAACACAAACATGGATACATATGCACAAATACTTCATATCAAAAGAAATTTAATAACTCAGAAATTGTTGAAGTGATCTAATTAATTCGATCAACTGATCATTAAACATTAATAAATATTCACATACACTGGCATCCAATTCATGGGAGATAAACCATTACACACATAAGCGCACACAAACGCGCACACAAACGCGCGCACACACACACACACACATATATATATATGCACAAATACTTCATATCAAAGGAAATTTAATAACTCAGAAGACAATCGGTCGGAGGAGTACAGAGCATACCGGCGGGGAGATGAAACCGATGTACAGATCAGCTGCCATTGCCGGTGGTCCTTCGTTCATATTCCGAAACCACGACATTGAAACTTTGAATTAACACCGACATATTACATTGTCCATTATTATCTCATGCTTTTTCTTGCAACAGAGATTTGTGGCCCACTTAAGGATGGGCCTTCTAAAGGGTTTTGGGCCTTACTCATTTCACGGACCTTAATGACTTGTTCCACTCTAACAACCCCCTCTTTGAGGTGGGTCGGATGGGATTAGAATTCATTTTAGGCTCGATCCAAATTGTAAACTATATAGTAAGTGAGTCAGATATTTGAATTTTATCTCCACATATTTTTTTCCGTTATTTCTATCAAATCACTTATTGATTAATTTATGGCTCAATATAATTTTTATTTCGAATATTGTTCATATACGGTATAGTATATAAATGTTGATATTTTTTTAGGTTATGTATTTTGAGAAAATTTTGTTAATTTTTATTTTTAATTATGTAATTAAAGAAAGGGAAGGAAAAAAATTAGTGAGATCAATTTTTTAGATACTCGAATTTTATGTTACATTGAATTTTTAGGGACGGGTTATTACTATTTCTCAATATGAAATCAATATACGTATTTTTGGGAGTGAGATCCCCTTAAATATAGTTTTCTTTCTTTATTTATTTTTTTGTGGATCACTTATTGTAAAGTTAAGGGAGATTCATTGTAAGCAAGTGAGCTCTTTACTCATTAATGATGGATGATCACTCAAGAAAAAAAATAGAGAAAAAAACATTTAAAGATATCTAAATCTATTTATAATTTTTAAGGGGTAAGCTCAATTCGTAATAAGAACGAGTTATAAACTTAGATGTCTTGAGTTCGAATCTTGACAACCTTTTAAGGTTAGGCTATAAAGGATTTATCCATCGTGAATACCGTAGTTTCGACATAGATGATTTGTGATTTGATTGGACCGTAGAGATACACATAAACTGACTTGTATACTCTTGACCGTCGAACTGAAAAAAAAATGATCTCGTTTATTCTAACAAATATTTACACATCATTTTGTGAACTTGAATCTGTGTTCGGGTAACAAAGATCAAATTACACCGATGCAATATACAACTTGAAATTGGCAGGCACCACCCTGTTTCTTGAGCACCATGAAAAGCCAAGCCACTAGATTGAGTCATTAAATTAGATTAAAACCCCAACAAAAGGAGATGGAAAATCATGCCATTCATACACACTTTTTCTAAACTTTCTTCTTCCCATCATTCACTTCGCAACATTAATCTATAAAACATTAGTTGGAAAAGATGTTATAAGTATTGGTGCTGTGAGGCCCAGTAAGAAAATCTGTGTTGTTTCTCTTTGTAATCTAAGGGACCCCTCCTTCCACCCACTCCAACCCATTCCCACCTTTTTTTTTTTGCATTCATCCTAATCCTCCTAGTCAGATTTGCACCACATAGTCTGTAATTTAATTTGTTGTAGCCAACAATTTTGCCATGGGTTACCTTACCTTGTGTTGCCTACCAAGTTGGTGGCGCCGAAAACGAGGTTATTATAAAGTTGTTTGTCGAACTCTTGCGATTACAATATAATATTGATTAAAGTATGTAAGTTCAAAATATGCATGACTCCGGCGAATGAAATTCAAATTCTTAATCCCGACTACATCAATTTGTTCACTCCAGGATCAAATCCTAGCTCCATCTGTAATATTTGTGTCGTACACCAACTTAATGACTCTTTTAGCAACTGATTTGTTATATGGGGGCTGAAATTTACCCAAAATTAGGTGGGTGGGAGCCAGGCTTTAAGATGTTTGATCAACTTCACGTGTCTGTACATGCTAATGATAGATGCATCAGAATCGGTATGAATTGTGAACATCAGTTCCATCAAATTACGAGAGATTTATCCCTCATGAATAATACCCTAATCCCAATGTAAATGATCTACTTTTGATCAAAATGAAAAAGAAATTAATCGAATTGTGCATAAATTAGTCCGAACACCTCTGATCATCGATTAAAAAACAACAAAAAAAAAAGCCATAAAAGATGAATGAGTGTCTTTGGTGCTGATTTATTTCACAATCTTTTGATCGAAAGATTTAGTGATGACCAATTAGGCTAAATGTGTTTCAGGTTTTTGAATTGAGAAGTTAGGTTTGCCTATTGAGATTGTTTAATTCATTCCCCGTGAAAATGCCCAACTTCTATTAGTCTAGTGTGATAGAGCTGTCTATTAAAGGAAAAGTGGAGTTATTTTTTTTTTTTTATAGCGTGTTCATATTTGTACTGATTATTTTTTAAAATTTGATAATTGATTAATATAATCAGAGCTAGTTTAAAACATATTTCTTAAGAAATAAGGGTAACTAACTTTTAAAAGATATAAAAAATATTAAATTTAAAACTTTTGAATTATCAGCCACAAGATAATTAACTCCGGTATCTATTGCTTTCATGGGTGAAACTGGAAAATCTTAGGTTATTTGAGCCAAAAGAACACGTTTAGTGGGGCCTACCCTATACACGTTTGGATAAGCAAAAGACCATTTTCGGGAGTAATTCACACTCAATTCTCCTTTTCACTGTTGGTTGCTTCATTCGAGTCATCTGGATCCTTAACATGTAGAATTACTAAATTGCCCTTTTATAATCAAATTAGTAACAGTGACCATACACCACCATCAAGTTGAAAAGGTTTGCAATGTTGTTCCAGCCTTGAAATATTCAGGCACGGAGTTTGATTTGCTACTTAACATGGAAAAAGTGTATGCTTTTGCTAAAGAGTTCTCTATAATGATTCTTTTTCCAAAAAAAAAACCCTTATAACGAAATTACTTCCACCACTCGTCAATTTTTTTTTTCTTGTTTCGACTAAATTTGATCATGATCAAAACTCCACCATGAGATTGAAAAAGTTCCAACGTTATTGTGATATTATACCACTAAGTTTGGTGACGCCTTCTCTAAGATTTCTAATCATTTTTAGCAAATTTTATCTCTATTTTATTCTATGTTATATCATCGATCACCTGTTCATTAAGAATTCATTTGTATTCAAATCCACTTTCTATTTATATGCTTTTTTGTCTTAGTTGATCAAAGAAATCATCAAACGTGTACTTCTCTTTTTTCCTTGGGGGCCAAGTCAAGCTTAGAATTGTGTAGAAATAACAAAATATAATACGATATGTTAGTACGATGCGAAATTAGAGAGTTTGAATATTTTTTAAGTCACCTATTTAATAAATGAATGAACTTAACATGACACAATTAATAAACAAATCGAGTATGAATAAAGATAATAAAAAGAAATATATAACATAAATTATTTATATATTAGTTATACACAGTTCATATATATAAACTAATTTATTATGATTCATTAAACATAAATTAATAATTAAATTAAATATAAATAAAATATTTTTTTACATAAATCTAATAAGACTTTTCGCGAATCCGTCTCACTTAACATGATTGACTGGCCTTTAGAATTGATGAAGGGCAAATTTGGGAGCCCAATGAATTATATGAATGGGCTGTCAAAGAAATCAATGCTTGTGAGGACCAGCAAAGCAACAGAGAAGCATAAGAAAGGATCCCATTAAGCTCTGTTGCCTTGGGGTAATTTGGTAACTGCACAAACCCATTTCTTTGTCCTAATCCCTGCACTGTGGAAATGTGCTCCCCAAATATAAATAGAATATGACATAATTTATTGATTTAATTTATTATAATTTTTGGATTGATTATAGACTAATATATCATTAAGTTCAAATAACATTATCCAAAGAGAAAACGCAACCCACCTCATTTTCCATTGCACTGAAAAATACAAGAGAGAGAAGAAGAAAGAGGGAGGCCACCAAGATCAGATGAGGTCACCACCCACCCCACCACCACAACCACTGCTGTCGGTGCTGGATTCCACTGGTGGAATTCACCGTTCCCATACCTCTTTGGCGGCTTAGCCCTAATGCTGGGACTCATATCATTAGCATTAATGATTCTAGCTTGCTCCTACCAAAAACCTCCTTCTCAGTCATCCGACACTGAAGTTGAAGAAAAACCAGCGAAGCCCGTGCCGGTTATGCAGCCGGAAATGGAGCCGAAGATCGTCGTTATCATGGCGGGAGACGACAACCCTAGATACCTGGCAAAGCCTGTATTGCCTACTCGCCATAGTGAACAAGTCTAAGACCTCTTGCTTCAACTATATAAACTAAGACAAACACTATTTTTCTGTATTTCCTTGCTATTTTTTTTTTAAATAAATTCTTTCTTACCCCTTTTGTTGGTGATCTTCCCGGTAACATGTAAATTGATGAGGATAAAAAAGATGATATTTTATGAGTGATACTCTGTCTATTTTCTTTCCTTGTTTTTAGATTATGTCCATCTCTGATTTTTTTTTTTTGGAATCCATTTTAGATGTTTTAAAAGGTCAGATTGCTTGCCACCTAATTCTCACACGTCGTTGTAGAAGAGGCACCAAAGCTTTGTATACTAGGTGCGATCTAAAGATTTATTTTGATTATTGCTTGCACTAGATTAGAAAGATGACAAACACGCAACTTTCATCCACATACAAAAATATGTTGAATTATGGGAGAGTAGGTGTTAATTTGCTCGCTTTTTGTATGATAGGGCAAGATATCTTATTTTTTAACTTTACTGCATATTGCACGCGTGCGTCGCATGTAAATTATTTTTGATAATAATTTTGATTTTATATTTTTCATATCGGTATATAAGTTAATTTATTTAGAACTAAAATATTATCAAAAATTGCCTCAAAATATGATTTTTTGTAATTTATGGGTCATATTTTATAGTTTAATTGTAAACATGGTGAAATATATTGACCACATACCCATACATACGTACCATAACAATCTCTTCTTTCAAAGTTTAAAGATAGTTAATGATCAAACTAATTTGGTCTAGTCTAATTGACAATCATTCGATCTCTTAAGACTAAATTAGCTAAGAGGTCAACTCGACAATTCTTCTCAAATGTAAGACATAGTTTTTTATGTCGCCATTTTTTAGGATTTTATTTTGTTCTCTTTCGAATTTTTCTTTAACTCTTTGTAATTTTTTTTGTTCTTTTACATTGATGCATTGTGCTAAATCTATAATATTGATTTACCAACGCATACTCCTATTAGACAAATACACAATTTTATTTATCAACAATATTTTTGAATGTGAAGTTATTACTTGACACATTGATACGTATGTGTTTTGCACGTGGACGGGTTTAATTTATAGTGATCATGTTATTTCTTATCATTGTGTTAAAATGATTAAATATACACCTACAAATCAAAATATATGTCCTTTTATACTTGTTGTTTGGATATATATGTTGCTATGTGCAAAGATCAAAATTTCGTTTCGAAATGTCTGAAACGTTTCCATTTTCAAGGAGACTGAAATGAATCAGTGATGAAATCGAATTCTAATAGTTCGAGTTGTTTTATAATGTTTCAAGATGTTTTATATTATTTCAATGCATTTGTATAGTTGTTTCGTCATGTTTCATGGTATTTCAAGATATTTTGATTTATTTCGATCAATGTTTGAAAAAATAATTATTAAATTTTTTGTATTTTTCATTTTGTTTTAGTAATGGGTTGAAATGTTTTCGAAATAAGTCAAAACGTTTCTGTTTCTTAAATGATCGAAATAGTGCACTGAAACAAAATTTTAATCATTAGCTATGTGTGCCAACCACAATAATCTTCTAAGAAATTAGATTACATGCTAAATTGATTACTTCAAGATTGATTGATTACCCTATGAATACTGAAAGGCTGATTGAGACAATATGTTTTTGTGTGGTAAATCTATACTTGCTAAAAGTCCATAATCATTGGTTGCGTAAACCACGGTGATACAAACTTTGCAAGAGAAAAGTTTGATAAAATCATCACAAAAGATATTGTATTTTTATAATATAACACAAGATAACAGGATAATCAAGTAAATTATCATAATGACCTTCAAATATAAATTAAGAGCGAGCTGCAACTTTAAGTTTCATACAAACCAATAAATAGAAGATGTACATGTTTCAGCTACAAAGACTTATTTCTTCTGCAACATTTATCTTGAAGGATTAGAATTTTGGGAATTCCCCAGGACTAAATTATCTTTAATTAAAGAAATTTAATTTTAGATTTATTGTTAGATTTATCTAAATATATAAGATATTAGTAACTTATGAAAAATTAAAAAGTCAGATTTTTAAAGGACTTGACGCTATATAAATTTCATAAGTCATTGTTATAACTTGATATTTATTCTTAAGAATTCTTAGGACTTGTTTGCACTATTTCTAGAATATGTAAGGTCTACAACTTAGATAAGTTACAACACATATTAGATCAATGAAAAAATTTAGTTTTATATTATGAATCCATATAAAAAAGAAAGAGAATTCAATTAGAGCAATCTTTGGATTAAGGATAATATTGATTTTACATTATTGTTAAATCACAATTACGAAATTATAATAAGGACTTTATTAAATTGTGCTGGGATAAAATTAGAAAATAATTTTTTTTGATTAATGACCTTTATGAATTATATATTACTAATCTTTGAATTTATAGGCTTCTTTAAGGGTACACTCAATGTCAAATTTTTATGATTTAAGCCATAAGTGTTCATATATTTATTTAAGCACAAAATAGAAACTCAAAAGTTTTAAATGAAATTATTAGTGTGAGGTATAATGGTCCTTATAATTTTGTTTAACGGTAGAAGAAGAATTAAAAAGTTTTTCATCTAAGGTACTTTTATTAGTAGTGTAGTTGATGTACACGTGCGTTGCACATGTATCATTTTTACTTTTATTTGACTATTACTTCATGTATGTAATTAAGGTATCTTCATACATAATTAAACTCAGTAAAAATGTAAAAAAAAAAAAAATAGTTAAACAAAAATAACCTTATAGTATTAGGAAATTCTGGCAAAATTAGAAGAAATGTTACACCTACTAATCAAATTAGTTAGAAATCTTCATGTATGTATCATTCTATTGAATGGTTATTTATTTGAATTTGAAATAATCAAATCTACAGTGCAGATACTGATAGATACAATTTCTCAGCTTTGGTCCCTTTTGGCTTATAAAAACTGAGAAAATTCAATCACTATATAGAACTGAAAAAGAGTTAGAAACTGAGTGTCTTTAACCACTCCACTTATATACGCCTTTGTCTGTTTTTATATAAAAAATAAAAAAATTTTAAATCAATTAAACTGTACAAATACTAGCAATAGTAAATGAAACATGGATGACAGATGGAGGATCAAATTGACCTCAAGAACCAATTGTAGTTGATACACACTAAAACTTCGTGCTTATGACACGGGGGACAGTTTCTTAATGCTTACTTTTTGAAATAATAGTATTAGATACTATGAAAACTCATGGACAGTGTCACCATGAATTTTCAATGGGCAAAAAAACAGGAAAGGAACTTCTGATTGAGGATGCAGTAGATCACTAATTCCAAACATAAGTAAAACTTTTCATACCAGCTCGATTAAAAAAATCGGATGACACTGCAACCCAGTGACTTGATAACTTAAAATTTATACATGTTTGGTGTGGCTTTGGCTTTAGACCGAGACGTCTTCAACACTTTTGATTTTATATTTATCATATCGGTATATAGGTTAATTTATATTATCAAAAATTGCCTCAAAATATGATTTTTGTAATTTATGGGTCATATTTTATAATTTAATTGTGAATATGGTGAAATACATTGACCAGATACCCACACATATGTACCATAACAATCTCTTCTTTCAAAGTTTAAAGATAGTTAATGATCAAATCAATTTGGTCTAGTCTAATTAACAACCATTCGATCTCTTAGGACTAAATCAACTAAGAGGTCAAGCTGACAATTCTTCCCAAATGTACTAAAAAACTTATAATTCTAACACTATTAAAAGATTTGAAAAACAATAACAAATCGGAAAAATAATATTGTGGGACAAATAGACTTGGTTTAATCCCAAGAGCTTCAAATGTAATATAGATCAATGCAAAACTTTCCATGGCAGAGCATATCTCAGGGCTTCGTCGAATGTGCATAGCTGAGAACCATGCAATTTCCAAGCATGCAGCATGTCGGGATTGAATCCCAAGAATTTTTAATAAAAGACCATATTCTTGTCATCAACTTGTTCACGAGAACCACCTCCAGGTGTTATGCAAGAAGACATTGAAACAGGATAGTCGAAGGTCTCTGTTTTGAGATTGTCGAATGGTATGTGGAGTTAAATATATGGAGTGTTAGAATTTGTAATAGTAGGCCAACCCAACAACCTCATAAACAGTCCTCATTACGGAAATTTCATGTGAATTTATTATTTATTAACTAAAAAAGATAGTGCTTCCATTATTTATTTGCTAAGGCAACCCAACAGCCACATAAACTGTGGCCATTATAGACAATATTATAAATTTATTATTAACTAATAGAGATAGTGCTGTCATTATTCATTTTGTTAAGGATAATTTTGTCGTTAAAAAGTTTTTCAGCTATAGGGATATTTAAAAGTAGTATGAATAGATGTCATTCATTTGGTTAATTACCGGATCGGGGATAAGTAACAAAAAGTAAGGGCGTTCACCCTACTCTATAGATAAGAAATATGGTCTTCTATCTTTCTACTCGATATTTTACAAAAGAATTTTCTTTTGGTTTACCTTACCCGATCAAATGTAGTTTTCCTATCCGACTTCCGGCCAAATTAATGGGATAGGAAGTCGGGTGAACACTTTTGTAGTTATTAATTTTTGGATAATTTTAACAATTTAATTAAATAACATACACTAATTTAACAACATAATAAACTATAACACTAAAACCTAAAATAATTACAATAAAATACAAAAAAGAATAAACAGCAATCCATCATAATTGTTGCATAAATACAATAACAATTATTTTAAATTTAAACCATATAATTAAGGAGTTAGGATTTTTAGTTTTTATATATATAAATTAATGTGGTTATGGTAGGGTAGAAATACAAAAATTAATAATGATTCCATATTTCTATCCAATTTTTTCGGCTAACCGTTTAATAGGGTCGGGTAAAATCAGATAGGATAAAAAATTACGACTAATCGAAAATTTAAACATCCCTAACAAAAAAAAGAAACACATAAAGTACTATTTTCTTTTCTGTGTTCCTAATAGTCATCAATTTTTGTTTTGATTTCTATTATTTTGATTTTTCCCTAAATGGTAACTAGTAAGAACAGCTCACATGCATCACGCTCAAGAATAATTTTTATTGAACAGCTCACGTTCAAATCTCACTTTCTCCCTTATCCTCTGACTGGGTCTGCTGATACTGTAAGGAAGTGAAATGCTTGCTTAGGCTCAATTTATATTTTTTTATCTTTATAACATGCGTTAATCAGGCTCAAGAATATTATGAAATAAAGGTCCAAAAAATACAATAATTTATTATCTCTCCCTTTTTTTAATAAATTTTACGGTCTCCCACCAATTTAACGGACACATCTGTCACCACTCACCTAAAAAATCACACATTTTCTTTTCATTTGTTGTTAATCCAATCGCTCTTTATAATTAGGGTATATACAAATACAAATACATTTACATAAATAAATCTGCCTACATCTTTCTCAGTCATATAATTTTAAGTTCATAACACATTAAAAAATAACATAGCCATAAAATAGCATAAACCCCTTTTTTCATTGAAAAAATGGCATAGCCATAAAATAGAATATATATTTATAATAAGTTTGAAAAAACCCTAATTAAATTTTCGTTTAAAATCTCAAATTTTATTGAGCCAGCCCTGTCCTCTTACGACCTACTCCCCCCCCCCCCCCCCCAAAAAAAAAAAAAAAAAAAAGAAGAAGAAGTTATTTTTGGTCACGAAAGGAAACTGATAATGAAGCAAAGTCTTCTGGGAGTTGAAAAGAATACAAATGATGATTAGACCACAGAAGGTCATAGGTCTTTTGAAAGGAGACTCAAGGTCGAGGTTGACTTGGCAAGCAACGCTTTGAAGCTCCATCAATAACATTCTTTTGGGTCAAAATTAGCCACATACATTAAACTTTTAGAAGTATTTGACCCATATATAAAATCCCTCCAGCACACCTGGTGATGATCCCACATTACTTGGACATTTGATTGCACTTCTTATCAGAGATGAGCGAAGCATTTTGTATTTCAAAATAACCAGGTTTAGGTTTATTGAGCATATTTATTTATGGAAGTCAATCAAATTAAGTCCAGCCATATTTGAGTCGGATCATTTTAGGTTTATAATATATTTAAAAAATATTTGTATCATTGTCATCTAACTTGTGATTCAAAAATCACAAGCTTACTTAATTGCAATTCTAACATAACATCACTATAGACCTTCACGAAGTAGGAATCTAACCTACAATGTCACACTTTTGAAAACTCGAAATCACCGTAGTGTCGTCATTCGCAAAAGCTCAAGAGGAAAGAATGAATAGGATAGAAGTCTACTGCAGAGGCTGATTCTTGCGCCTTTTACGCCCGGAGACCGAGATAGAATTGCATTATGCCCAACTTGTCTTACCTTTGCTATTTGCCCCAAACATAGGAAGGCAGTCAAGTCACTTCAGGAAGAAGAGGAAGGAAGTCAGAAAAGGGCTTCGAGAGTGAAAGACAGAAGTTAAAAAAGAGTCAAGCGAAAGCCAACAACTAATCAATAGAAGAGGCACCAGAAAAGGAAGCGAAAGCAAGCCCTACGATGCTAGATGCATACAATACTAGACTACAAAAATTGATGAAATCGGGATCTAGAATTATGTTCACAGTTTGAAGGTAATTTGGTTATTTTGAGTCATTATTAAAGCATTGACCCTTTCTCAGGACGGTTAGGTTGGTAAAGAAAAGAAATAAATGCAACAATTTGCATTCTTTTCTCTTTCTCCCATTTTCCACCATTCTCTTGCTAATCAAACAAAACCTTACCTTTTATGTATTTTCCTGGTGATATGCATAATAGGAAACAGAAGACACTTGAACCGGCCATTCAGTGATGTGCCCAATAACTTAAAATAATGAAAGCTAGTTAAAGTCTCAATGGCACTATGAAGAAACTTTCCTCAAGCCATGTGGCACTTTAGAATTTCCATCTTTTTTGGGGGCTTAGGATTCCCATCATTTAATTATTACCACAGTTAGATAATACTTCCCTATAAATGCTGAGGTCACCAACCTCTTCATATTGCACTGATTCAGAGAGAGAGAGAGATGAGGCCAGCAAACACAACCTCAACCTCTAGCACTCCATTTTTGCGATGGAGTTCCCCATTCCCTCACCTCTTTATGATCTTAGGTTTGATGTTAGGACTCATCACCATAGCATTAATTATTCTGGTTTGTTCACACCGGAAACAATCTTTCAACTTGCCAATTGAAGCTGAAGAGAAGCCTGTGACAATCAAACCTACCAAAACCGAGGCCGATCTGGCGCCAACGGTCGTCGTCATCATGGCCGGAGATGACAAACCCATGTACCTGGCAGCGCCGGTCTCTTCTTCAACTTCCTGTACCGGACATGTCTGAGATTTATTGCTTTGTTCTTGGGCATTCAAGATGACCTTAAACCATGACTGCCAAGAAAAGTTCTGTTCACCATCTGAAATATAGAAGCTTGTATTTTCTTTTTTTAATAATAAGATTTATATTTAATATCAATTTATTGACCTAATTTATTCTCTGTTTTTATCCTTACGTTAATCTTTTGTTTTAGTCTTTTGAGTTTCTAGGAACCCGTATGCTGATGAGTATGAGTTCTCCCTTCCCCTTGACATTATCTCTCTCATTTTAGGTTTTATAATATATTTTGGTCGGAGAAATGTTACGTGTAATTAAAAAGTAAATTTAAAAATTACACTTGATAATCATAATCATTGAATAGATAGTGAATTCCAATAAATACTAGAACTCATTTACCATGACTCATTTTGGTAGTGTTATGTTAGTTTTGAGTCATATTCATATCATCGTCCCCTAACTATCTGAATTTGGAATCACAAACTTAGAGTGTCTCCGGTCCTTACTTTTTTTACACTATAATTTAAATTTGGGTAAAAATATTCTAAAATGTTTATCCAATGCTAGATTCATATCCATACCAAATGAAAGAAAACTTTTTTTAAACCCAAATCAAGGGAGACACTTTTTTAAACTCAATTTTTTAATGATGAAATTACACCATCTTTTAAAGATTCAATGATTATATTTTTCCCTCTTTTAAATTTGGATTTGTTCTCATTTAAATTTAAGCTTCTCAATTGGAGAGGTTTATACTAAATCAAGTTTTTTTATCCTATTTTTACTTAAAATTATGTAAGAATTTAAGTTTTCATTGGAGATAGCTTTCTAACATCTTTTTACTCTCAATCAAAGTCATGACATTCAAAAATTGAAAATATGCTTGAACCACTTCCTAACAAAATTAAATAAAAAAAATTATTTAATCATGTAACAATTCATACCATACTAGACTAAGAAGATTGAAGAAAATAATCTAGCATTTTTTTTTTCTTACTAAGTTTTATAAAATCGGGTTAATCGTGTTTGACACTAATATAACACATTTGTCATTCGCATTAATAGATTATTTAATTTTCGTACAATCACTCCCATATAAAAAATATGCACCAATTATCTTTAATTCATTGCGATTCTTTAAAAAATAAAAAAGGCAATTATCAACATAGAGAACTTAAAGTGCTGAAACTTAGTCACTCGCCATTACTAAAAAGGATGAACATAATTGGTACTTCTAGCATCCACATTATACATGTGGAGTAAATCTATGAAATCAAAAAAAGTTCTTTTATACCGAAAGAATTATTAAATAAAAACTGCGGTTATAAGTCAATCTATTTAGATTATACTAAATTAAAGTTATTTGTGATCAATCACACTTTTGATATAATTTAATTTTAAAAAATTAAAATTTTCGACACCGTAATCATAGCCTATAAAATATTATATGTTTTGGTTCATAACTGCACAATTTTAAAATGAAATATACAATCAAAATTCATAACTCCACCACGGTCAACGTTATGTAATTGCGAGACAGATAGATTTGACACCCTCACCATAATGCTCTCAAACCTTATCAGTTTTTGCCACTTGGATCTTGGGTCACTATGATGGCGAAGTTCGAGATATTGGGCAAACACGAAACATATATAGAATAGAATAAGTTGACTATGGGTCTTTTAAAAACGAGTAATGTTGGATAAATTTAAAAATTAAATTTAATAATTTTAATTATTGAATAAGTAGTGGGTCTCAATAAACACTGGGACCAGAGTGAAATTAATGATTGTAATTATCAAGTCTAATTTTTAAGTTTACTTTTTAAAATTTATGTAACATTGCTCTTTAATAATACCTTAATTTCTTACCATTAGACAATAATGTCATAGAATAAGTTGACTATGGGTCTTTTAATAATACCTTAATTTCTTACCATTAGCTAATAATGTTTGACAAAGAAGATTAAAAAAAAAAAAAGTGTATATATATATGATCAAATTAGCTAATGGATTAGGATGATTGCAGTGGCCTCGCGTGGCAGTCAGAAATATGAACAATTTGTGTAAAATGGACAAAAGAGTAAGTAAAAAGTGTAAATCCTTTTAAATGTGGCTAATAAATCATCATTCTAGAGGGAGGGAGGTTTTCATTGAGAAGATTGACTTTTACGCAAATCCTAGCTACATTTGGGCATAAGACAAGCTTGGTACGATCACTAATGGTCAGGCCAATTTCAACGATAGAAAACATGTGAAATTCAAAAAAGAAAACAATAGTTGTGCGTATGTTAGTGCTATGCCCAACATAACGATAAAATTTTTAATTTTTGGGGGGATTGACCAAAAGAAATTCCGAATACTCAATGAAATAGATTTTAAGAACTTCTCCGAAAGCTTGAAAGTGGACGATTAATAGATGTGAAGGCCATAATTCCACATCATTTTCTTTAGTGTGAAGACATATGAAATGATAGTTTGTGTAAAACGGACAAAAGAGTAATTTCATGCTTCTCTTTAAATTTGATAGTAATTGAAATTCAATATATCTACTCTCAAGAATGGTATGTGGGTGGATGTGGTGGCTCGGAGACGTAAGGGTGGGTTTAGAAAGTTGGAACAAAAAGGCTGGCGTTGGCCATAAGAATGTCGGGATGCTGATGAGAAGCTTCGAAACTTCTGTCTGTTGTGATGAGCATATGTATATGTATTACCTAAGATTTAGGTTTAGTCCAAAGGCATAAGAAGTTAGATTTAGGTTTAGTCCAAAGGAAGAAGAACTATTTATCACTCCAACTTCTTTAGTGGGAGACAGATTGTGACCATACCCTTCAAAACTTCTGTCCTGCAAAAGTTATTTCATCTTAGAATATGATCTCCTTGATGCAAAGAACCAAGCTCTCTCTCTCTCTCTCTCTCTCTCCACACACACACACACACACACACACACACAACCACAGGTGCACACATTTGAACACATGAAAACACGCACTCACCAAACGCCAGCAGACACCTCAGTTGACTTGCAAAATTTGTGCATTAAACAATTGATTTTCAGATACATATGAAAAAAATTGCAGCAAATGCCTTACTTTATTTGGAACTAGTCGTGCCTTTTGTAAATCATGTTTTTTTTTAATGTGTGGTTTAAGTTATTGTGATTAAAAAGTTAAAATTTAAGTGAGTTACTGTATTAAAAAAGTTAAAAGTTAGAATTAATTTAAATGAATTATCGTGATTAAAAGGTTAAAATTTTAAATTTAAATAAATTAGTATAGTTAAAAAGTTAAAATTTAAATAAATTATTCTGAAATTTAAATGAATTACTATGGTTAAAAAGTTAAAAAATTAAAAAATTAAATCATACTTTAAACCGTCAAATCTAATAATATGAATCGTTGTTCTGCTTTTCTAACTGAAAAATATAAACAACTCAAATAGGAGAATCTGTTTTATTATTATAAATTAGAATAATTAGAATAGATTATGTCTGTTTATGTTAAGAATGTTTTCCTTGCCCTTTGAAGAGCAAATAACTAAATGTTTTGTTGTGTTCTTTTATAACCTCATGGTCATAACTTTATATTCATTTAATAACAGCAGAAGAGTCTCCCCCCCCACCCCCCCCCCCCCCCCAAAAAAAAAAAAGTACTCTTTTAGGGTTCCGTCCAGGCTAACATTTTCTTCAGGATGTAGGGAAGGGGGTTGGGGATGGGAAAGGGTGATCGCTTCTCCCCTTTCTCTTTAAACGTTATGAGACCTTTCATCGAGGAAGAAAATATTAAATAAAATGGTTATATGTCAGTACTGTTACGTGATATTTTCATTGAATAATAAACCAGCAAATAAGTTAGTAAACCTCACTTAATTTCATAAATACTAAAACGGGATCTGGTATTCTACTCACAGTTTGAAGGTAATTTGGTTTTTTAGACTCATTCTTAGGGTGGTTAAGTTGGGAAAGAAAAGAAACAAACACAATACTATCTGCATTTTTTTTCTCTCTCTCCTATTTTTCATCACTCTTTCACTAACCAAACGAAGCCGTAGCTAGTTAACTTTTATTTATTTTCCTGGTGATATGCATAATAGGAAACAGAAGACACTTGAACCGCCCATTCAGTGATGGGTCCAATAACTTAAAATAATGAAAGCTAGTTAAAGTCTCGAATTGAAGAAACTTCCTTTATGCCCTTTGGCACTTATTAATTTCCATCTTTGTTTGGGGCTTAGTATTCCCATGATTTCATATTAGCACAGTTAGATAGTTGGGAGTAATTAATATATATGAGACTCTTGTCATTGTGTGGTCTGGAAAGGTTAGATGTACGAAACTTTACTCCATAAAAAAAAGAAATTATTTTTATAATTCAAACATGTGACCTCCAAATTACAATAAAATAACTTTTTTCGTTGCACCAAGGCTGCACAATTAGATAATAGTATAATGCTTCCCTATAAATGTTGAGCTCACCAACCTCTTCATATTGCACTGATTCAGAGAGAGAAACAACAGAGAGAGAGAGAGATATGAGGCCAGCAAACACAATCCCAACCACCAGCCCTCCATTTTGGCGATGGAGTTCCCCACTCCTCTACCTCTTTATCAGCTTAGCTTTGCTGTTAGGACTCATCACCATAGCATTAATTATTCTGTTTTGTTCACACCGGAAACAAAATTCCAACTCGCCAATTGAAGCTGAAGAGAAGCCTGAGGCTATCAAACCTACCAAAGCCGAGGCCGATCTGGCGCCGACGGTCGTCGTCATCATGGCCGGAGATGACAAACCCATGTACCTTGCAGCGCCGGTCTCTTCTTCAACTCACTGTACCGGGCATTTCTGAGATATATTGCTTTGTTCTTGGGCATTCAAGATGGGCTTAAACCACGACTGCCAAGAAAAGTTTTGTTCACCATCTGAAATATAGAAGCTTGTATTTTCTTTTATTAATAATATAATTTAGACTTAATTTTAATTTGTCAACCTAATTTATTCTCTCTTTTTTTAATCCTTATGTTAATCTTTTGTTTTAGTCTTTTGAGTTTCTAGGAACCTCTATGCTGATGTGTATGAGTAAGGGTTTCCTCCCTTCGCCTTGATATGATCTCTCATCGTTAAAAACAAAGAAATCTCTCCTTAACTAATCTTTTTTCTTTTTTACAAATAAAAACAATTCCAACCATTTTTTTTTTGCTCCTTTTTTTTTTCCTCATAATAATTCCAACCATATGCATACCCATGACTATAACATAAAGCTCAGATGAACTTAATCACTCTTAAATCTCTTGCACCGACAAAATACGAATCTTATGTGGTCAAAAAAACTTAACTCAACATGCAAATTTATGTTTAATTCCTTAATTTGTCGACTAATAAACTAACATGTGCATATTAACTACAAAATAGGTTAGATCATTGTTGACTTGGATGGTTATATAATATAGAAGAGGTACCATATTTCGATATTAGTCAGGAAATTTGTTTTAATTTCTTTGAAATTTTTAATTCTGAAAATAATAAAGTAAAGGAAGAATTACACTCATACCCTTGAGATTTGTAACTTATTCACTCAAACTTCTTGACATTTGAAATATTACACACAAATTATTTAAAGTTTGTAAGCGTGTAACACTGAGACCCTTACTGTAAATATATTTATTAATAAATTACATGCAGATCCCCTGAAGTTTATAAACATATATTACTTAAATCTCTTAAGTTTAAAATGTTATACTTAAATAAAAAATACTTCAATCAAAGATAAAATATCAAATATTTTAAATTTTACAATTAAAATTTATGTTTTATTGTATCGTTTATTGAAATAAAATTAAAAATAAAATTTTAATTTTTTTAAAAAAATCGTAATTTGTATCCAATTATATTGTTTATGAGAATTTAATTTAGTCGCTTAAACGACCAAATTAAAATACCAAACTATCTTAATTAAAACTAAAAGATATTGTATCCATTATAGTTTGACCCCTTATTTAATTTTTTAGTTTTATTCTAATAGATAGTATAATTGTTTACTAACTATTATTTTTTTAAAAAAAACTAAATTTTTATTTTTGATTTTATTTCAATAACTGAAATAATAAAACAAGAATTTTTGTTGTAAAATGCATGTTCTATTATAAATGACTTAGAACCCTTATTTGATTTTTTAGTTTTATTCCAATATATAGTATAATTGTATACGAATTATGATTTATTAAGAAAAAATTAAATTTTTAATTTTAATTTTATTTCAATAAATAATACAATATAACATGAATTTTAGTTATAAAATTTAAAATTTTTGATATTCTATCTTTGATTGAAGTATTTTTTGTCTAACTATTATATACCTACAATTTTAGAGGGTCTATATTTAATTTATTAACGCATATATTTACAGCAAGAATAAAATGTTACGTGTGCACAAATTTTAGGGGATCTATGTGTAATATTTGAAATGTCAAAAAATTTGAATAATTAAATGACAAATTTTAAAATGTCTGAATATAATTCTCTCTAAAGTAATAAAAAGTGAAATAAAATAAAAAATTTACACTTATCTTTTTAATTTTTTTTTTGAATAGACACTTATCTTTTTAATTAGTGGAGAATAACATGTAGGACATCAAAAAGAACTTTTAGTACAGTAATTGATCTCTAGTGGACGTGAAAAGAAAATGCGACGGCTCGGACAAGCGAAGAGACAAATGATGACGAAGGAGAAATATTTTTGACAAAAAGGATAGAAGCATTATGGATAAAATGTTTTGACGTGGCACACATATTCTCTCGGATATTTCGGGTCCTATTTTTGTGTTAAACCATTTGTTTTTTCTTTATATTGCGTGTAGTAGTAGGACTATTTGAATGAATTTATGTGTATTTTAATTAATTTTATTCTCAATTCGGTTAAAAATAAATCATCCGTATAGAGATTAGAGAATTTATAATAGATAACTCTCTTATGATTTAACCTCAAAAAAATTATTAAATTTCAAATTCAAGAAATTTGAATTTACAGTTCGTCTCTATCTCGGCTAGGCCACCTCTTAGGTTACTTCGCTTGTTAGACTATTGTTACTATTATCAAAAAATTTTACTCATTTTTTTTATAAAATTAATCTTTAGCTCGAGACTTATTGATCAAAACACCCACATTCATTTGTTAAATAACATTTAGTGAAAAAATTCAATAAATATATAAATGACTTGATTAACGAATTTTTTATCAAATATATACGAGTGGTTAGATAAGTAAATCTCATTAGAAAAAGTTATTATGTAATTTCCCACTTTGGTGTTTGTTTGAAAATGAGAAAGAAAATGATAATTTTCTTCTATATTGATGATGCACAAATTGATATTGCACAAAAATTAACAATCAAGAATATGTAAAAGATGCAATTAATGAGATGTAAACAATCAATTAATAATAAACCTGTAAATAAAGAGCCAGCATAGAGGTTTATAGTGGTCCGGTCTGAATAACCTACTCCACTCTCGAAAACGACAGTGGTGACCAAAGCCTTTTCATAGTGAATGAAGTCGCCGAAGAGGGTATTCTCTATGAGTATTATACAATGTTATCAGAACCGGACCGATCATCGAACCGGGTAGGGAACTGGGTCAATAGTTCACTTGTTCAACCGGTGGGTCACTGGTCGGACCGGTCATATAATAAAAAAATATATATAATAATTATAAAACATAATAATTTAGTTAAAAAATATAAAATATGTCTAAAATGCATACAATTTGTCATAAAATTAATGCATACACTTTGCATAAAATCTACAATGACAACAAATATCTCAATTCACAATCTCAATTTGCACTCATACAATCTCAATTCACAATCTTAATAGATCACCAATAGACAATAATATCACAGTAACATCAATAATAGATAATTTCAATTGCCTAATAGAACTAAGCAAGTCTTAAAAAAAAATACAGTGATGTTGTGATGCTCAAAATCACCCAACAATGTGCAACAAAATCACCCAACAACATGTAGAATTAAACATCAAATAATTGAAAACTTGTTACTCATCGAATCACAGAAAAGTTCGCCTGAGTTTTTACCCATCGATTCATCGAATCACAGAAAAATTTTTACTTTGAAGGGAGGAGATGAGTTCGCTGGTTCGCACTTCGCTGGGTTCCACTTCGCTCGGTTCGAAGATCGCTTGACCTTGGTCGCTGATCGCTACACCCTAGTCCCTAATCGCTGGGTTCAAAGATCCCTGACTGGACCCTCGTCGCTGATTGCTGGGTTCGAAGATCCCTCCCTGCTCCCTGGTCGCTGATCACAGTGGTTGATGCCGTTGATCGGAGTTGAAGTCGCTTGAGGTTGAGGTCCTGATGTTGCTAGAGCCTGGAGTTAGTGGTGTGGTGCTTCTGTTCTACGATTTAGGGCAAAAACAAAGGCCCAAATCCTATACAAATGAATTTTAATTTTATTTATTTATGCAATTTAATTTGAAAATAGGAATTAAACCGTCTGCTTTTATAAAAATCGCCGGTTCGTGAGATTTTTCAATTTATAACTGGTTCTTTACCTTAAGCGGTCCATTTAGAAACCCGATCGGTCAAAGCCCCGGTTTGAGGTTGAATCGGTCTGCCTGATCGATCCGGTCCAGTTCTGATAACACTAGTATTATAGTGCTGAGAGAGAGAGAGAGAGAGAGAGAGCGCAATGTTTTCAAGGAGATATGTAGAGATTTTAAGATGATACCCTCTATGTGTAGAGGACTTACATTATAAAGGTTCACTAAAGCGGTGACGTGAGAAAAAGGTGTTTCTACCATTTTAGTAAGGACAATCATGGTAAGATTAGATCTCCGTCTCAATATTTTCTTTCTCGTGCTCCTATTCAGTCGGAGGAAGATCCTAAGTTGGGCTGATCCTGATCTTGAGCTTTGACTTAGAATGGATTGGACTTGAGTTGACTTGGGACGAGAAGGAGGAAGCAGGGGAGGAGCCCAGCCCATTGGGCGGCACCTATTGGGCAACGCCTAGGGGCTTGGGTGACCCCTCTTGGGCGGCATCCTTGGCACCTCATATGGGCGGCACCCTTTTGGTGTCCCTCCCGTTTTTGGCTTCTTGATATCCTTTTGGGTGGTGGCATGTTGGGTTCCTTTCTGGATACAGATTACTTGGACTTCTTGGTTTATTTTTGTTGGACTTGGTCCAGTTAAATTCGAGCTCGTCACTACTATGTATTTTTCCTCTAACCTTGTATTTTTCCTCTAACCTTGCATTACAAGAAGTAATATTATGTCACTCCACTAAAAAGGGGTTGCATCGAATGTATAAGACTGTCACATCTAGTAGGATCTTAAAGAAATAAAGTTGTATGAAAATAATAATGGGTCCCCCATAGACTATCATGTCTAATTGGATCTGAAATATCATCACAATGCATTAAATCTTTTTATTAGATCCGTAAATTAACTTCCTATAACGTTACTCTTGTAATCTCCAAAATTTTTAATGTTAAATTTTGAAACTCTCTCCAGCTTTAACCCTTTGAAATTCTTTTGTGGTTGCATCGTTTAAGGACTCAACCACGGTACCAACAGATTGTTCTTTGATACCGTCTGGGCCACAAGAAGATATTAATAATAACCTAGGAGAATAACTTTTTTAAGAAAAAATTATTGTACTGGGTACTGTGAATCATTGGACACACAGTTGTGTTCATCATTTTACTTTTGCGCCTCCAAAGAGATATCCTCGGCATATTCCGGAAGACATTGGTCTTACGATTGTGCGGTAGACAAACAACGTTGGGATATTTTTTTTTTTTTTTTTTCTCGGACACTGTTACAAAGAGAGAGATGATAGGTTTCAAACCTACAGTATTAAGATTCAATGGTAAAGCGGAAAACACTACCATGTGAGGCAAAGCATAATGAACACAAGGAATTGCTGATCACAATCCATCCGATTCTGATGCATTTGTCATAATAATGATTACAATTTTATGTTTTATATGCGTTTTTATTTCATTTGAACTCTCCAATGTGAGGTTAGCGGTTGGGTTGATAACTTCCGCTTTACTATTGAATCTTAATATTGCAGGTTTGAAATCCGTCCTCTCTCTCCTTATAATAATGCCCCAAGAAAAAAAACCTCCCCAACGTAGTTTGTCTACCACACAATCGTAAGACCAATGTCCTCCAGAATATGCCGAGGATATCTCTTTGGAGGCGCAAAAGTAAAACCATGAAAATTAACCTCTACCTTTATTAAGATCATTTGGTATGCATTTTTTTTTTTTTAATGATTGTAATGGAACATTCAGTACCATATAACAAAGTCATTATTTATTTGCACTAACCAAAATAACTATTAAAGTAAATCATTTTTTTTTTCGGAAAGTAAGTATTAAAGTTAATCATTGTAGCAAAGAATTGATTTTGTAAACTAGGGTCTAGGGGCTAGCGTGCCAAAAAAAAATTCCACATCATGTTCTTTTAAGTATTTTCCTAGTGGTTTCTCAACTCATTATTTTATAACCCTTATTGTCCATCATTCCCATAAGAAAAATATGCCCTTATTTTATAGAACAAGGCTATTTGGACAAAAACAAATTGGCATCACTGTCATTAATTTAATTGTGGTTCCAAATATTTATTGGGATTTACTTCGTATTCAATGGTTATGATAAAAGAAATCAGCAAAAAGTGTTAGTATTTTTTGTTCAAATAACATTTTTCTTTTCTATGTCAAAATTATTGTAAAATAAACAGTGTAGAGTTATCTGTGATGAATCCTATGATCCTAACTTTTTTTTTTGTTATTTGACCTACAAAATTTTATTTATTTTTGGTAATTGACTTAAAAAAATGTTATTCTTGGTACTGTGATCTTACCTTAATTACTTACAATTATTAGATGGATTGTAGGTCTCAATATTTATTTTGACCTGCTATCAAACAATGTGGCCGTGGCTATATAGACTTTACACTATGGCCACACCTTTGTTATGGTATGAGTCTCCGTCACGTGGAAATTTGGTCACCACAATTATTATGATCGTGAAATTTAAGCAAAGTGTAGGAGAAACAACTAAACATAGAATAAGTTGACTAGTCTTTCCAAATAGGTCTTCTAATAATACATCAATTTTCTTAGCATTGGCCAACTATGTTTGAAAAAGAAGATGAAAAATGTATATCAAATTAGCTAATGGATTAGGTTGATTGCCGTGGCGAGTGAGAAAGATGAAGAGTTAGTGTAAAATGGACAAAAGAGTAAGTCAAAAGTCTAGCGTTTCAAATGTGGCTAATAAATCATCATTCTAGAGAGAGTTGTAATTTCACACCATCTTCTTTTCTGGTGGACACATGAAATGATAATTTCCACTAAATATTTGTATTTTTTTTATTTTGTTAATTCTCTTTAAATTTAATAGTAATTGACTAACTATCAACAATATTGCTAGATAATTCAAAAGGGTAATTCGAGTGATAACAGAGACAAGTTATAAGTTTAGACGTTTTGAATTTGAATTTTGACAACTCCTTAGACGAGGTCATGAAAGATTATCTCTCATGAATATTCTAATTCCGACGTAGATAATCTGCACACCTTTGACCTAATTGGAGATGCAATTAGTTTAGATAGATATAAACTAGTCCAGACAAATTGATAAAAAAAAAAAAAAAAGAATATTGGTAGGTGGGTTGGTGGATGTGGTGGCTCGGAGACGTAATGGTGGGTTTAGAAAGTTGGAAGAAAAAGGCTGCGTCGGCCATAAGAATGTCGGGAGGCGATGACAAGCTTTGAAACTTCTGTCTGTTGTGATGAGCATATGTATGTATATGTATTACATAAGTTAGATTTAGGTTTAGTCCAAAGGAATAAGAACTATTTATCACTCCAACTTCTTTAGTGGGAGACAGATTCTGACCATACCCTTCAAAACTTCTGTCCTGCAAAAGTTATTTCATCTTAGAATATGATCTCCTTGATGCAAAGAACCAAGCCCCTCTCTCTCTCTCTCGCTCTCTCTCTCTCTCTCTCCACACACACACACAACCACAGGGGCACACATTTGAACACATGCACCCACCATGTGCCCAGCTCCCACAGGCACACACAGTCGGCAGCAGACACCTCAGTTGACATGCAAAATTTTGTGCATTGAAAAATTGATTTTCGGATACATATGAAAAAAAAATTGCAGCAAATGCCTTACTTTATTTAGAAATTGGAACAAAGTGATATTTTTATTCAATAATAAACTATCAAATAAATTAGTGAACCTCACTTAATTTAATAATTACCAAAATGGGATCTAGTACTCTGCTTACAGTCTGAAGGTAATTTGGTTTTTTCAACTCATTATAAAGGCATTGACCCTTTCTAAGGATAGTTAGATTGGGAAAGAAAAAAACCAAAGTGAATCGAGAGAAAGTTTCTTCACATGCTAGGGATACTTTAAAGTCCTGTTTGGTTTAAAAGAAAGTTGAGTGGATGAAAAGTAATAGAAGAAAAATTGGGTGGATAAAAAGATTTTTCACTATTAGGTACCAAAGTAAAATGTAAAAAGAAAAGTCGATGGACAGCATTTTTCTCCTGCCCAAAAATTCTCCCCTCCCAAACCCCCCCCCCCCCCCCAAAAAAAAAAAAAAAAGTGGGCGAAAAGTGGGATGATATACTTTTTAAGATAAATTTATTTTTTTTGCCCTTCAATATATTTTAATATATATTGAACAAATACACAATTCACTGTTTAAGGGTAGAATTATAAATTAGACATGCATGTTTTTCATTTTTTTTTTTTTTTATACAATATGAAACAATAAAAAATATATTGCTCATACTTTTCATCCCTCTTACCAAACAAAAAGGAGAAAAAATAAATTTCTTTCCTTCAAAGATAAAAAGTTTATTTATTTATTTTTTCTTCCTTCTTTCTTCACTCCTTCATACCAAACGGTCTATAAGGGGATAAAAGAGATGAGAAAGGGAATGGTTGAAGGTCCCCTTGGCCTTTTTTTTTTAAAAAAAAAATTTCCACGGCGGAAATATTTGAAAAAAAGGAAATTCAGTGATTATCATTTTTGCCTCCAACATTTATACCTGAAACTCAACTTTCCCCTTCAAATGATCAAAAAACAAAACTTTTTTCTTTCAACCAATTAAGAGTGACTTTTTTCTTTTATTTTCTTCTCTCCTCTAATGAAACCCTCAAACAAAGGAGAGATCATGCTTTTTTTTTCTTCTCTGTCTTAGAAGTACTACATTCACTTTCTTTTCTTTTCTTTCATTAAAAATTATGATGAACTCAACTCTAATCGGATCAAACCTAATAAATCAAGTAAGTCTAAGTCAATTAAAAAGCAAGTCGAGTCCAATTCATGAATTCGACCTAACCCAAGGTCTAAAGAGTCCAAGAAAAATTAGAACACGTGAGGAACAATTATCAGAATATTTATTCTAGAATATTAAGACAACCTTTTATGGCATTTACCTTTGGGTAACTACCCAGAGAATTTGTACCTTTGTCCTCACGTCACCACCTTAACTAAGGCTCCGTACCCATAAGTTATAAGTTCTCTCTACAGGAGAGGGCACTTCTGAAAACACCTCTGAATACCCTTTAAGCTCTCTCTACACCTCGCTATACACACTTAGATTTTCTCTCTCTTACCTATTGTATATCAAATGGAGCTAACCATTATTCTCTCTTCCGTTCACCTTACTTCATCAATAAAGGTCTCCTGACCATCGTTGTTGTTTCTCGGAATAGAGTAAGTCATCTGGACCAAACTACTATATATCTGTGTATTGACCCGATATTTACATTATTATGATTGATTATTCTATTAACTGTCCATTAATTATATTTTATTAAACACTTAACCATTAATCTTACACAAAATTATTTTGTACATCATTAAATTCTTTATTTTTTCCTCTGCTTTATCTCCAAAGGTACAGAAGAAACTTGATCAACAAGACTTTTTCCTTGGCTTTTATTTTTTTAATTGGGAACAGAAGAAACTTGAGCCGGTCATTCAGGTCTACAGTCTACTGAGTAATGGGTCCAATAACTTAAAATAATTAAAAATAGTTAGTCTCAATGGTTTTACTCATCTTGTTCCGAGGCACAATAAAGAAACTTCCTTTAAACCCTGTGGCACTTTATAATTTCAATTTTTTTTCCTGGGGCTTCAGTATCCCCATGACTTAATTATTAACATAGCTAAATACGGTACCAAAATCTTCTTCTTTTTTTTTTAGTATCATGTCGTTATTACAATTTTTGTAATTTATTTTTATAATTTATAATGATCTTTTGTAATTTTTTATGATCATTTATTATTTTTATGGATCTTTTACAATTTTTGAAGTAACTTATAATTCATCTTAAAAATAATTCACAACAATTTTAATGTAAATCATAAAAATTATAACATTATAAACAAACCTAAAAATTTGTATTTCAAACAAAAGAATTAGTAAAATTCAGTTATACCGTACCGAAAATTTGTGGTCGGTACCGTAGTCGACTCCCTCTATAAATATTGAGGTCGCCAACCTCTTCATATTGCACCGATTCAGAGAGAGAGAGACCCAGAGTGAGAGAGAGAGAGAGAGAGAGAGAGAGAGAGAGAGAGAGATATGAGGCCAGCAAACACAATCTCAACCACCAGCACTCCATTTTGGCGGTGGAGTTCCCCACTCCCTTACCTCTTTATCAGCTTAGGTTTGATGTTAGGACTCATCACCATATCATTAATTATTCTGGTTTGTTCACGCCGGAAACAATCTTCCAACTCGCCAATTGAAGCTGAAGACAAGCCTGTGACTATCAAACCTACCACAACCGAGGCCGATCTTGCGCCGACGGTCGTCGTCGTCATGGCCGGAGACGACAAACCCATGTACTTGGCAGCGCCGGTCTCTTCTTCAACTAACTGTAGCGGGCATATCTGATATATATATATATATATATATATATATATATATATATATATGTATTGCTTTGTTCTTTTGCATTCAAGATGACCTTAAAACCATGAGGTGCCAAGAATAGTATTGTTGATTATCTGAAATGTAGAAGCTTGTATTTTGTTTTATTAATAATATAATTTAGACTTAACATGTTAATCTCTTTGTTTTAGTCTCCTGAATTTCTAGGAACCTGCATGCCGACGAGTTTTTTTTTTTTTTTTCAGCAATGCTTCTCATTCATGTTAAAAGTAAGAAATTTATAAAAAAATTTATAATAAAATCAAAGGCGACGTAAATCTCTGACGAACTTCATGACTCTCAAATTTCTTGCACCGATAAAAATATAAATTTGCGTTCAGCATCCAGATTTACGTTTAATTCCTTAATCAGTCGATCAATAAACTAACATGTGTCGATGAACTACAAAATATATGTTAGAAACGTCATGGTTGACTTGAACGGCAATATGATACAATGGCATGTACGATAATTTGAAATTGTTAGTACTTAGTACAGTAACTGAACTCTGACGACTGAACGAGGACGCGACAGCTCGTACAGGAGAAGACACTAATGATGACGTAGGACAAATTTCTTTGACAAAAAAGGTTTCGGCATTAATTACTGTGATCAATGGGAGGACATTTGCGGTGAGAAAACTGAGAAGTACACAGCTTTTTCATTAAATGCTCTGACGTGGCGCACATATTCTCTTGGATATTGCAGCTCGTATTTTCTGTTAGACCACTTTGTTTCTTTTTCTTATTTTATATTACGATCACAGCCATAATCATATGTGTTTAGAATAATTTATATGTATTTTGATGAATTTTTTTTTCAATCTAATCAAAGATAAATTATTTATATTAAGACTAAAAAATTTATAAAAAAAAAAATAAATTTCATAGCTTGGTTTCAAAAAAAAATTTCATAGCTTGTCTTTGTTTCTCCTGTACTACCGTAACAAATTTTACTCATCTTGTTTGTAAATTAATATGGAGTCCAGACATTTTTAAGCTTTTGTTTCACAATTGTAGAAAGGAAAACGAGGATAATGATATGATTATCAAATTATTTATCAAATGAATACGAGTGATTAGTTAAGTAAGTTTGACTAAAAAAAAGTTAATGGGTCTTGGTAGTAATTTAGCACTAATTTTAATTTGACATGTAAAATTTTGATAAGTTCGGGAAATCAAAAATATATTAAATAAAAGAAAAAGTACGATATGGTTTCGGGCCAAGAAAAAGAACAATGAAACTCCATAATAAACGTATAGGTAAGTGGATTCCACGCCAAATATGAGCATGAAATGTTAATTTTCCAATCATGTTTGTTTGAAAATGAGAAAGTAAATGATAAATTCTCCGACTACTATATCAGATAACTAGTAATAATCTAAAGACGTAATAACTATAATTTAAATGATTTTTTATTTATTTAATTTTTTTCTTTAGTTGCCCAAATTCAAATTAAAGTGAATAAAAAAAATAAGAAAGAGAAGAAAAAAGTAGATGTGGATTAATTAGTGATGATGTACAAATTAGTTGTATGCACCACCTGTCAATTGAATAATAATTAATGCAGTATTTAAGTAGAGAGAGAGTAATACAAGGAAGACAAAGATGTAGAGTGGTTCAGTCAACGTGAATTATTTCATTATGAAACGCTTGGATAGTTTAGTATTTTATCACTTCGAGGAGTGTAAGGAGATCAGGGGAGAGCAACAGAGGTACAACCTGTAAGAAAGATAAGAGTGATGACAGATGTATTCAATGCCCCCAAATATTAGCAAAGCGTACAATTGACAATGTCTCATAACAGACTGAGACATCTTTTTAGTTGCTAAGTAGTTAATTTGGTGGAGCTGACGTCTCTCTCGCAATGCAATGACTAAGGTAGTTACAGAGCTCTCCTCAAGACTAGTTCTAAAGGACAACGTGGTTCACTTTTCCAAGGTGTTGACGCTCTTGAGATGGCGCTGCCTACTTCTTGGTGACGTAGCTCCTCAAACCCTGATGAGCCTGACTAAGAATGGACCTCTTTTGGATTGGACCCATTAAATCTCGTCTAGTTGGGCTCTTTACTCGAGCTGGGCTTATAATTTGAGTTAGGCTCGAGCTTATAATTTGAGTTAGGCTCGAGCTTATAATTTGACTTGGACCCTTGAGCCTAACCCATCAATATATTTGATTGACAATGGAAAGTATATTGGTTAAGTTGTTGGACATCGAAATTCGTGTAGAGAATATAAATTTTTTTAACGAAAAAAAAATTAGGATAAATTTTTGTATCATTGGATTAAACTAGATAAAAATTAGATCATTCCTAACTGTTAATTTTATTTTTATAAATTAAGAATTCAACTTTCTAACTATAAGATTAGATAAATATAATTTCCTCTAACCTTATATCACCTGTAATATTATATGTTTGGTTGTTAATAATACTGTACTTTTTTTTTGGTTCAATAAAAATATGACACATCAAAAAAAATTTCAATTTATTATACATTTGAACAAGTATCACAATTAAAATTTTTTTTAGAATTAATAATTAAAAATCATTTTTTGATATCATATCGTATCATCAAAAAAGATGAAAAGAACCTGGTCCATTGGCTAAGAACTTTATGTTGGTGGACTTGGCGACTGGGCCACGAGAAGAGATAAATGATAACCTTACAGAATAATTTTCCTAGGTACTGTGAATCATGGGACACAGTTGTTGTGTCCATAGAGATATCCTCGGCATATTCTAGTGATTATAGACTGACAATGGTGCGGCAGAGAAACTACGTTCGCGGAGTTCAATTGATAATAATGTGTTATATTATAATCATGTAAGAGTTAAAAATAACGCCTTATTATGGAAGGACAATATTACGTACATTTAACGGTTGTTAGACTTTAATAGTGTTATAACTCTCAGACACTGGAGGGTACCCTTTTAATTATAGTCATAGAGAAGAAGGTAGCTTTCGATTTTGAATATTATTTGACCATTAAACTTGGAAAATTGAAACGGGTTTCGGAATTAAGTTTGGAGGGACATTCTTTTGTTCTAGCCTTCATGACATTTCACTATTCAAAGGGCAAATTTGGTTTATGTATAGTTATGAGATGAGATTGAACAATTAATTACATTCGAAACACCGTAATAATGGTAATAATTGATTTAACTATTTTATCTTATGACAATTATATTATATTTGGACAAGTTTTGAATAAGATTTGAGTCTTTTTTGTCCTAATTCCAATATTTTTGTTTGGATGAATAATTTATGTATTATGTATGATATATTATGATTTTATGCATAACTGTCTAACTAATAGATGTACTTTCATCGTTTTGAATATTAGTATGTATCATATCTTACTGAATACCACTTGTTATATGGTATTAGTTTATACCGAGGATGGGGTGTCGAATGAAACTTTAGCATTGGGTACTTGATGTTAAGTGATCATTGGACTAATTCAATCCAATCTCACCCCCTAATACCCAAACTAAACATAACCCAGGAGTTTACAATAATGGCAGCAAGTGGCCCATAAATGTTCCTTTTAAAGTAAACAGAGGATCAATTTTATACTCATGAAACATCCTAATTGACCTATCACTCACAATCTCGTGATTGAGAGAGTTAATGATCACCAATTAGGCGAAATGTATTTCAAAATTTGGAATCGGGAAGTTACTTATGTCTGTTGAAATTGGTTAATCCCTTCCCAATGAAAGGGCCCAATTGCAGTTATTTGTGTCTACCTATTGAAGTGTAATTAATTATAATTAGGGAATGCTACTGTGATAGAGCTGTCTAGTAAAAGCAATGTTGAGTTTGATAATTAACCATCTATCTAATATATTCATGGATGATGAAATTAGAAGATCAGAGGTTGCTTGAACCAAATGGACACGTTTAGTGGGGCCTACCCTATATATGCCTTGGAGGAGCAAAAGACCATTTCTTGGGGAAGAATTCACACTCATTCTCTTATTCACTGTTGGTTGCTTCATTCAAGGCATGTTGATCCTTAAGATGTAGAATTATTAAACTACCCTTTTATTATCAACTTAGTAACAGTGACCATACCATCAAAGCGCAAAGGTTTGCAATGATATTCCAACCTCAATATATATTTTCAATGGTCAGGATGTCGGAACTAATTTACGTATATTTCAATTAATTTTATTTTTGGTCCGGTCAAAAATAAGTCATTCAGCCCGGAATTAGAGTATTCATAATTAATAATTTCTTCATAATCTCAACCTAAGAAGTTGTTAATATTCAAATTCAAGATATTTATGTTTACAATTCGTCTCTATTACTACCTTGATTATGAAACTATTTCCATCAGCATCATTTTTTTTTCTTTTTTTCTCGTTTTCAATTAAATTTGATCCCATCTCACACACATTGTGATTATAAAAACTCCACCATGAAATTAAAAAAGTTCTATCAATATTGTGAGAGAATACAATTAAGCTTGGCGTTATCATTTCTAAGAATCTTGATTATTTTTAACAAATTTTCTCCCTGTGATACTATCTATTGCATATTGGTTAAGAATTCATTTATATCCAAATACATCTTCTAATTATATTTTGTCTAATTGATCAAAGAAATCATCAAACATTTAGCATTTCTTCTCTTTTTTCGTTTTTTTTGTTTGGAAGAGAGGGGGGTGGCGAAGTCAAGCTTGCAATTGTGCAAATATCATAGAGGGTAAATTTGGGATGCCAATAAACTAAATGAAGAGACTTTCAAAATAATCAATGGTTGTGAGGACCAGCAAAGCAACAGTGAAGCATAAGAAAGAATCCCATTAAGCTTTGCTACCAGGGGGTAATTTTGTAACTAAACAGACAAATTTCCTTGCCCTAATCCATGTACTGTGGAGCTGTGTTTCCCATCTTATAAATACAAAAACATCCGACCCCTTTTTCATTGCACTCAAGAAATTAGAGAGAAGAAAGAACGAGAGATCACTAAGATCAGATGAGGCCACCACCCCCCACCAACACCACCACCACCACCGCTGGTGCCGGATTCCACCAGTGGAATTCACCGATCCCATACCTCTTTGGTGGCTTAGCTCTAATGTTCGGGCTCATAGCCTTAGCATTAGTGCTTCTAGTTTGCTCCTACCAAAAACCTCCTTCTGATCATCAGTCATCCAACACTGAAGTTGAAGAAAAATCAGCGAAGCCCGAGCTGGTTATGCAGCCGGAAATGGAGCCGAAGATCGTCGTTATCATGGCCGGAGACGACAACCCAACATACCTGGCAAAGCCCTTAACAATAACTACTCGTCAGAGTGAACAAGTCTAAGAAACACAACTCCATATTTCTGTATTTTAAATTTCCAATGATCTTTCCGGGATTATGTAAATTGATGAGGATAAAAGTGATGTTCTTTTGTGAATGAACACTTTGCCTATTTTCTCTCTTTCTCTTAGTTTATGTTACAAGCTCTTTCTGGTTTCTCCTTCTTTTAAGTTTTGTTTCGGAAGTGTTTTCTAAGTTTTAAGAATCAATCTCTCCAAAACCATTAGACAACGTTGTGTACCACTTACCTGTCTCAAACCCGACTATCTGTACTAAGAGACTTGTGCACTAGGCATTAGCTACATGCCATCTTTGTATTATATGGTCGATAAAGTGTCGAAGACATCACATTTCATACCAGATCTACCTTTTTTTTTAGCAATAACGAAACTACTTCCAATAGTGGCACCAGAGTGCCTAATCTTAATTCATCTCAACTTCTCCTTGATAAGCTTGCGAATTACTCCGATAAATAAAGAATAATACTATTTGAACCTAAAAATCGGACTTAATTTACTGACATAACATGATGATGTGGCTTCATAAAAATCATTGAATCAATACCAAATTTTAATGTTGGACGGAGTCTACAGTGAATTCAAATGTCACAATAAATTAGGTCACAATAGTATTGCTCATAAAGAAATGGGTGGCGCTAATTCCACCCTTTAAATCTCTTTGTTTTACCCTATTCAATACTCATTGTTTAAACTATTAAGCTTATCTCATCTATACGCACCCTATTAATGAATAAATTCACCTTATTTGTATCTATCCAATTAAACTATTAAATATATATATCAAAGAAGCCGAAATAAAAATAGTAATTGCAGCAAAAGTTTAATGCTCCAAGATGATCTAGAATATTTCAAGGTGTTTTGAGATATTTTGACATATTTTTATCAATATCGTCAAAATATTTGACGTGTTTTAAAATATTTTAGTATATTTTAACTAATATATTAAAAATTTTAATCATTTTATATAATGTACCAAAACAAAATTTTAATCATTTTATATATAGTAAATTGAAATAAAATTAAATAAATTTAGTTTTTAATTAGTAAATATAGATCGGACGAATTTAGTAACTGATGTGATGCATATAGATTGGATGAATTTAATAGTTTGAAATAAAAATATTAAATAGAGTGAGAAAAAAAAAATTAAGAGATAGAAATAACCCCACCCTAAAAGAAATTGATATCTCCATTTTCCTTCCTACTAAGAAACGTCATCTTTACCGTAGGTAAGGATAAATGGATTCTAGCTGGCCACTTCAGGGTGGATAAGTATAAAAAAAAAAAAAAGCAAACACAATCTTATTTTCTTTTCTTTGTCCTTTTTTGGTTTCTTTTACAAATTTTTTTTTTTTTGCTTCTTTTCCTTAAATGGTAACCAGTAAGAACAACTCACATGCATCAAGCCAAACCTATATTTTTCTATTTCTTTCTTTTTCCTCCTGCCATTTTTATTTGGGTATTATTGCATTATATTTAATTCCTTTTAAAAAAAAATTATATTCTTGATATGCTAGGGTTAAGAAGACTTACTTCAACGGTTCATATAAAAATTCTTTGTAGAACTTTCCTGCAGGAGGAGACCTTTAAAGAACAAGGTCGTCGGGGAGTTGAAAAAAATACAAACGATGATGTAAGAGGAGACCACAAAGGTCACAGACCTTTTAAAAGGCTAGGTGAGAATGATTTGCAAGCAACTCTTTGAATTGAAGTGTTGGGTTTCCCTCCTTTGTGGGACTCATCAATTTGCTAATTTTTTGGTGGCCTACCCATGTATGACTTTTATCCAAGACTTGATTTGGAGTCTTCAAGTTAAAAGGAATTTGGCAGCCACCAAAGACTATAAGTTTTGTCATTTTCTTTGGTTCATCTTTTTTCTGTTGGTTTGGCAAGAAGACATATTTTCGGCAGTCTTTGGTTCAACAAAAATTCAGCCTTCTTCTTCTCCTTTTTGGTGCCAGAAAAATCTGCAAATTTGTTCTTCAAGTGGGTAACATTTCTTCACTTGATATTTGGGTTTCTTGCGGTTTGTTCTTGGAGATTTGGTTCACTTATTTTGTGAGGTATTTTTCTCTTGTGATTTACACCTTGGTGTGTTTGTAAGGCTTATGCCTTTTGGCCACTTTGTAATCTGATTTGGTGATAGTGGAAGAAACTGACCTACCGGTCGTCGTGGATGTACCTCAAGTTATTTGAGGGAACCACGTAAATCTTGTGTGCTTATTTATTTTCTGTTATTTTATTTATATTGCTTCCATTGATTTACACTTGTGGGAAAGCCTATTTTCCCAACATCTGGTATCAAAGCAATTGGTTAATTCGGTTCCGATTCGTTATATTTCTGTGTGTGAATTATGGACGGCAACGTTGGACGTATGGTTAGTTTCAATGGCACAAATTGGGTGACTTGGAAAACTAAAATGGAAGATCTTTTATTTTGTAAAGATTTGAATGGACCCATAGAGGGTGATAGTGGCAAACCGGAAGGGATGAAAGATGACGAGTGGAAAAAGCTAGACCGGAAAGCTGTCGGTTTTATTCGGCAATGGATTGATGATAGTGTCTTTCATCATGTCTCTACAGAAAAATCTGCACATGGTCTTTGGACCAAATTGGAGAGTTTGTATGATAGAAAGACGGCAGTGAATAAAGCCTTTTTATTTCGAAAGCTTGTGAACTCTAAATATAAGGAGGGTACTTCTATTGCAGAGCATTTGAATGAGATTAAGAGCATTGTGAATCAGTTGGCCGCCATGAAAATTACTTTTGATGATGAGTTGCAAGCTTTGTTACTTCTTAGTTCACTTCCCGAAAGCTGGGAAACTTTGGTGGTCACAGTTAGTAACTCCGCACCTGATGGAGTGGTAACAATGAGTCAAGTTACCAGCAGTTTGTTGAATGAAGAAACAAGAAGAAAATCATCAGGTTCTTCTTACTCCGAGGCACTTGTAATGGAAAACCGGGGGAGAGGCAGGAGTAAGAGTAGGGTTCCGCACAACCGTGATAAATCTAGAGGTCGTTCAAGCTCGATGTCAAAAAAGGATGTTGAATGCTATTATTGTCACAAGAAAGGGCACATGAAGCGGGAATGTAGAAAACTCAAGTTCAAGGAGCAGAACAAAGAGAAAAATTCAGAGAAAAAGCAAATTGATACAGCTGTAGTTACCGATGATGAACTCATGATTATCCGTGATGATGCTAGCGTTAATTTGATTGGCCAAGAGACGGATTGGGTAATTGATTCTGGAGCTTCATTTCATGTTACTTCGCGGGCTGATTTCTTTACTTCTTACTCACAAGGTGATTTTGGGAATGTCCGTATGGGAAATGAAGATGTGTCAAAAATTGTCGGCATGGGTGACATTTGCTTGGAAACAAATATTGGATGCAAATTGCTGCTTAGAGATGTGAGGCATGTACCAGATATTCGACTCAATTTAATCTCTGCTGGAAAGTTAGATGATGAAGGCTACATCAACAATTTCAGTAATGGAAAATGGAAGCTCTCCAAAGGTTCTCTAGTGGTAGCAAAAGGAAAGAAGACTTGTTCTCTTTACACTATGCAAGCAAAAATCTGCAAGGGTGTTGTGAATACCTTAGAGAATGACTCATCCACTGATTTATGGCATAGAAGGCTTGGACATATGAGTGAAAAAGGATTGCAAGTTTTGTCCAAGAAAGAGCTTCTAGTGGGGATAAAAGGTACGCCTTTGAAAACTTGTGTTCATTGTTTCCATGGTAAACAAAACAGAATATCATTCCGTAGAAACATTGCATCTAGAAAATCTCATGTTTTAGATTTGGTACATTCTGATGTATGTGGTCCTTTGAAAGTTAGGACACTTGGTGGTGCTCTATACTTTGTCACTTTTATTGATGATCACTCTAGAAAAGTTTGGGCTTATACACTGAAAACTAAAGATCAAGTTCTAGATGTGTTTAAGATTTTTCAGGCCAAGGTTGAAAGAGAAACAGGTAGACAGTTGAAATGTGTTCGCTCGGATAATGGTGGTGAATATATTGGACCATTTGATCAGTATTGCACAAATCATGGTATCAGGCATGAAAAGACAGTTAAAAAGACACCTCAACAGAACGGGGTTGCAGAGAGAATGAATCGCACCATTCTTGAGAGAGTCAGATGTTTGCTCTCACATTCTAAATTGCCAAGATCCTTTTGGGGTGAGGCAATGAGGACCGCAGTTGATCTTATCAATTTGTCTCCTTCAGTTCCGTTGAATGGTGATGTGCCAGAGAAAGTTTGGACAGGGAAGGAAGTCTCCTATGATCACTTGAGGGTATTCGGCTGCAGAGCTTTTGTTCATATTCCAAAAGATGAAAGGTCCAAGCTTGATCCAAAAGCAAAGCAATGCATATTTCTTGGCTATGGGCATGAAGAATTTGGATACAGGTTGTATGATACAGTTGACAAGAAAGTTGTCAGAAGCCGAGATGTTGTTTTCTTGGAAGATCAGACTATTGAAGACATCGACAAGCTTGAGTCAGCTGAGTCTAGTACTGATGATCTTGTTGATTTAGATCCTCTCAATCCCTCTGCTGTTCATGATATTGATGAGGAAGTGCAAACACCTCATGATGATGCAGCAGAAGATGATGTTGAGCCAGAGATTGAGGGGGAGCAACCACCCCAAGAGCCACTACCACAGACACCGTTAAGGAGATCTACTAGAGAAAAACAGTCATCCAGAAAATATTCTTCAAATGAGTATGTGATGATATCAGATCAGGGGGAGCCAGGGACTTATCAAGAAGTCTTGAAGCATGAGAACAAAACTGAATGGTTCAAGGCAATGAAAGAGGAAATGAAGTCTTTGCATGAGAATCACACCTATGATTTGGTGAAGCCGCCTAAAGGGAAGAAAATTTTGAAAAATAAATGGGTTTTCAGACGAAAGAATGATGGGAACAGTTCTCAACCGAGATTCAAGGCACGACTTGTCGTGAAAGGTTTTGATCAGAGAAAGGGAGTTGATTTTGATGAGATCTTCTCACCAGTTGTGAAGATGTCCTCCATTCGAATTGTGCTTGGTATAGCTGCGAGTATGAATTTAGAAGTTGAGCAGCTTGATGTGAAGACCGTATTTTTGCATGGTGACTTAGAAGAGGAAATTTATATGGAGCAACCTGAGGGCTTCAAAGATAAGGGTAATGATCAGTTAGTTTGCAAATTGAAGAAGAGCTTGTATGGATTGAAGCAAGCACCGAGGCAATGGTACAGAAAATTCGATGCTTTCATGAGTGAGAATGGGTATTCAAGAACCACTTCAGACCATTGTGTGTTTGTGAAGAAATATAAAGATGGTAATTTTATTATTCTCTTGCTTTACGTTGATGATATGCTTATTGTGGGCCAAGACACGAGTAAGATTAGCAAGTTGAAGTCAGAGTTGAGTAAGTCCTTTGCCATGAAGGATTTGGGTCCAGCAAAGCAAATTCTTGGGATGAGAATTGTTCGTGACAGATCACATGGGCTGATTTGGTTATCTCAAGAGAGTTATATTAAAAAGGTTCTTGAGAGGTTCAATATGGACAAAGCAAAGCCTGTTAATTGTCCACTTGCAGGCCACTTCAAACTAAGCTCAAGTCAGTGTCCTACAAGTGATAAAAAGAGAAATGAGATGCAGAAAATTCCCTATGCTTCAGCAGTTGGTTCTTTGATGTACGTCATGGTTTGTACTCGATCGGATATTGCTCACGCAGTTGAGGTTGTCAGTCGATTTTTGTCTAATCCAGGGAAAGAACACTAGGCAGCAGTGAAATGGATTATGAGGTATCTTCAGGGCACTTCAAAGATGAGTTTGTGTTTTGGTAAAGGCGAGCCTATTCTTGATGGGTTCACAGATTCTGATATGGCTGGTGATGTTGATAGTCGAAAATCTACTTCTGGTTATTTGATTACTTTTGCAGGGGGAGCAGTGGCATGACAATCAAGATTACAGAAATGTGTTGCTCTCTCCACCACAGAAGCTGAGTTCATCGCCATCACTGAAGCTTGCAAAGAATTATTGTGGTTGAAGGAATTCTTACAAGAGTTGGGTTTGAAACAAGAAAGGTATGTCCTTCATTGTGATAGTCAGAGTGCAATCCACTTGAGCAAGAATTCTTCATTTCATTCGAGATCGAAACATATTGATGTTAGATATCATTGGATTCGTGATGTCTTGAATGATAAGTTGTTACAACTTGAAAAAATTCACACTGATGATAACACTTCGGATATGTTAACTAAGGCATTGACTAAAGACAAACATGAGAAGTGTCGACTTTTGGCGGGAATGGTCGAATCCTCCACATAAGTTGGGAGGGGGAGAATTGTTGGGTTTCCCTCCTTTGTGGGACTCATCAATTTGCTAATTTTTTGGTGGCCTACCCGTGTATGACTCTTATCCAAGACTTGGTTTGGAGTCTTCAAGTTAAAAGGAATTTGGCAGCCACCAAAGACTATAAGTTTTGTCCTTTTCTTTGGTTCATCTTTTCTCTGTTGGTTTGGCAAGAAGACATATTTTTGGCAGTCTTTGGTTCAACAAAAATTCAGCCTTCTTCTTCTCCTTTTTGGTGCCAGAAAAATCTGCAAATTTGTTCTTCAAGTGGGTAATATTTCTTCACTTGATATTTGGGTTTCTTGCGGTTTGTTCTTGGAGATTTGGTTCACTTATTTTGTGAGGTATTTTCCTCTTATGATTT